TTTAATACCTTATTATGAAGTGAAACTTCATTGCACACATCAGAAATTTGAAAGAAGTTTTTCTGTGTGAAGGTTGTCACCATAATGTTTATTTAGTTCTAGAGTTGAGCTATATATCCCATTAAATGATGTCATCCTAGAATAAAAAAATCTTCATATGAGGATCCCACAGGGCGATTAGTCCTGGAATTTAGTGTCAAGTGTCAACATTCAAGTCCTTATCTCAGATTGCTTGAATGCAAGAACTACGTGAATTATTGCAAGAAGAATGAAAACATTGTTTTATAGCATATATTGGAGACAAAGTATGAATTACAGTTAGGTGAACCAAAATGTTTCAGCAATGGAGAGGAACTTGCCCTACAGAGTTGGTCAGTTGCTTGACATATTTAAGTTCTACCTAAAATTGTGTGCTCTTATCAGAGTAGATGAAATCTTTATCATATGACCTTTATTATCTTCTTCTGCTTTAAGTGCAACTTTGATGCCTTCAATTGTACTGCAACAATCATGTATTGACGGTGTTTCCCTCTTGATTTGTAGGAAGACTTTTTATTGCTGATACAAACAACAGTGTGATCAGATATCTAGATTTAAACAAGCCAAATGCTGAAATCTTTACTTTAGAGCTGAAAGGAGTTCAGCCGCCTACACCAAAATCCAAATCTTTGAGACGCCTTAGAAGGCGACCATCAGCTGACACACAGACCATTGTTGTTAATGGCGGTTCATCCAGTGAGGGGAACTTATATCTTAAAGTATCATTACCTGAAGAATATCATTTCTCAAAGGTCTCTATCTCACCCTCCCCTCTCCCCTCTCCCCCCCCCCCCCCCCCCCCCCAATTCCCCCAAAGTTAATTCACACATGACTCACCGAGGGCTCTAACCCTTTACTTTTTTCTTGTCTTATCTTTGTCGCATTAAAATAGTAGCATGATCGTCCAAGGTATATTCCTCAATGTTTTGCCTCCTGATTCCAATTGCAGGAAGCACAGAGTAAATTTGCTGTTGATATTGAACCTGAAAATGTTGTGTCTATTGATCCCTTGGATGGAAATCTTAGTCCAGAGGGATCTGCGACACTTCACTTTAGAAGATCATCTTCTTCAGCTTTTACAGGGAGAATTAATTGCAAGGTACTCCTCATTTTGAAAGCAAAGATTGTTTACAACTGGAATCAAAAACAGTTTTAGGAGACGTAGAGCTCTGTGTTTGTTTATCAGTACAGCTTCTGTGCCTTTGCATGCTTAGACATAGCCACCTAGGACGTTCAATAACTGCTCGTGACTGCTAGCAAATCATACAGCGGCAGCACATAGCCTGGGGGATTGTGAAATCAGTTTGTGGGGCCCTTCTATTATTTTCTGAGCATTAATGCAGTACGGCATCCTTAAAAGTTTAGTGACCCTGTTTTTGACAGAGATTGACATCAAATTTTGGTGCAAAGCCTGCAAGCAAAAGGGTTTGGTTAAGGAAGAACTCGACTCCTGTAACTGGAAGCTTTTGTTAGCCATAAGCCTACGAAAATCAAGCACAATAATTATAGGAAATAATGAAAACTTTTTCTCAGTCACCACCCTCTTCCCTGCCCCTTATTTTTATACCAAGCTGGTCAAACCAGAAGAAAAGGCTCAATAGTTGCAAATGCGTATCTGCGCACTTTGCCTGCATGTGTTCTCTGTTGTCTAAATGGTACTTCGTTATTCAATGTCTGCTCAAAGTTGGCCGAACCTGTTTTGCAAGTTTAGTATTTATAGATTACATTAACCATGGAAAAACTTTGGAAATCAATTTTTTGAAAATATATATTTGACAAAGAGTAAAAACCACAAACAAAAGTATGGCTGAAAGTAGTGTCCTATGGGAAAAAAACAATCTGAGTTTTCCAGGGTTTTTGGTTTGGAGCAAGTAATGAAATTGTCTTGGTCCTTCGCAGGTGTATTATTGCAAAGAAGATGAGGTCTGCTTGTACCAGTTACTTTTATTTGAGGTGCCCTTCCAAGAGGAAGTTCCGGAGTCTAGGGCTGCAGAAATCAAACTTGTGTATGATGTGAAGCCCAAAACTTCAACAAGTAGCTTGCAGCTAAGCTAGTTTTCCCCTAAGATCCTGACCACACTATCCCTTTGAAGACATTCGAAGGCGCATACTAGCACGAAAATTATGCATTCAGCTGAGTGGAGCTTATAACTATAATAATAATAATATACAGTTTGAGCAACATAGATTCAAGGCGCAAGGCCCACCATGTTGTGTTGGACTATTACCATGGGCCATGTCCTATTTTTATTCCAATTACTATCATTTTGCTTTTGTCACATTATATTTTACCTGTCCGTTACAATTTTTTTTTTCTCATCGCTCGTAAGGGTCTAGGGTTAATCCAATTGATAAGGGTATTAGTTGTTTTTATCAAATAAGATAGGATTTTTGTGAGAAATATTTTAAAATAAAATTTTGAATGTATCAAATTAATTTGATGAGTGTACCATTAAAATGTTTTGGAGAATGAATTAGATTTTGATAAAATCTAAAAAAAATACTTGAGTGTAAAATATTGGGCCCTTTTGAGGTACCAGACTTAATTATAATTTTTTGTTTGTTTTGTTTTTTTTTTTTTATTTGCTATGAAGGTGATCATCACCATCATCATGGTGTTCAAACATACAGAAGGATGGAATGATGAGCAAGGCAGGCAGGCGTGCAAACTTGTATTTAATTGGTGAAACAATGGCCGTGCTATCAATTATTTGAAACAGTATCATTTTCGTTTGTTGATGAAGAAGACAATGATATGATATAGCATCCCAATCCCAATCCGAATTCTAATGGATTAAAACAATCTTTACCAAGCTCTAATCATATCATGTCACAACAATACATTCGTTTTTCATTAATTTTTTTAAGCTCTCTGAAAACATCACCATCGTCATCATTTGTGTCACAAAATTTAATGTTTTCGAGAAGATTTGGCGATGGTCCGACACCCAAGGGCAAGATCATCATCCTCTCAACTGCAAGTAATATAATTGTGGTTCAAAAGGTTCTGTTGATATGAGTTGAGTGTGCTGTAAAAAATTTTAGCAATAATGCAATAATCTTTCTATTGAAAAATAAATAAATAAATAAAGTGCAAAGGCCTAGGCTGAAAAAGTGTTATATGACAGGTCAAACATGGAACACCTGACCATTTTAGATAAATTAAATGAAAGGAAAAAAAGGAGACAGCCAAAGGTGAAAGTTTTTGAAACATTTTTGTAAAATTATGATGATTAATTAAGCAAGAAAACTAATATTTTATTACAGTAATATATATATATATATCATTAAACATTTTGTTACTTAATTCGAAAACCATGTTGGGAAGTATAAATGCAAACAAACCTAATTGTTTTGTCTTATTGAATTAATTAATTTATTATTGATCTAGCTATCAAGTTTCAATCAAATTCTTCTGAGAATCTTTCTTTTTTTTTTATTTGAACTGCTGGAGGACACTGAAATGAAGCCTAATTGGCTTCTCTGTGATTAAGTAGTTAAGACAAATTAGGATAAGTAAGAATCAAACCTGTCCACAACCCACAAAGGAAGGTGAGCAAAAGCCTCCATAAAACTAAAATATAAAAGGAAAGAAAGAAAGTGCCATGAAATCAACCACATGCCTTCTCTTTTCTGTGTCCTTTTTTTCTTGCATTTGTGCATCACCCACTAATCATTTTTCAGAATAAAAACAAATTCCATTAGCCCCACACCAAAAGCCAATAAGTGGAAGGCCAACACTTAGCTTTGTTATCCAATAAACCATTTCCACGTCATCTAACCCCATTGAAATTAAGCAACAAAATAACCCCAAAACAAATATAATAATATTAACAACAGCACAAAAACAATAATAATAACAATAATAATAATAATTCAACTTACTGGTCTTGCAATATAAGAAGACATACCGTTCCATGTCTTTTTCTTAATTTTATTACCAAATAACGAATATATCTAATTTCTGCTATTGAATTTAAAATATTTGTGTTCTTAAAAGGAAATTTTTTTAAAAAAATGTGGGTGGTGTCCTGCAATTTTCGGTGAAAAGAAAAGGGGCCAACAGTTAAAAATATTTACTTTTATTGAATGACATAATGATGCACGTGAGTAATGTGATGAATAAATAATCGAATATATACTGTATTTACTATTATTTCGTATCAATCCATGTGAAAAAAATATTTACTAGCAGTAGTAATTTGTTCTCCAACGTAGAGCATGATAACTATTAATTTATCATTATATATTATAGATCAATGTTGAATCCTGACATTATAATTTAATTTTGTTATTGTATTTTTAGTTATGTTGATAAATATTTTTCAACATAAAATAGAGAAATTGATAAAAAAAAAAATCATAGTTTCATTAACCAATATATTTCATGAAATAATTTATACCATTATTTTTAAAAAATAATATCACTAAATCTACTACTCAAATCTATAAAAACATAAATTTTTATTTTTTTCCAAGCCGAATTCTTTTTTAAAATCAACATAAATGCATTTAAAGGAAAAAAAAAAAGAAGTAAATGAAAGTAAATGTTAGTATGTTACTGTGTAATAGCAGAAGAAGAAAAAAATATTGTTGAGTAAAAAAATGACTAAAATAATAAAAAGCTTTTGAATTTCAATATTTTATTTAAATAAATTTTATTTTTTATTATGTTTAAATTATTTTTTATTTTTTATTTTACACCTAAATAAATTCTAAAACTTTAATTTGTATTTAAATAAAACCTTACTTTTTAATTTTTACTTAAATAAACTATTAATATAAATCAATCTTTTATTTTAAATAAAAAATTTTTTGAACCAAATTAAAAATAATAATTTATTTAAATATAATAAAAATATTAAAATTTATTTAAATAAAAAATAAAATTTACCGGCTTTTTTAATATTTAAAAAATAATTAAATGAAGAAAAAAAAGACAGAGCCAGGGAGGCTATAAGTCATCCAGCCGCCCGCCTCTCAAATGAACTCCCCCCTTTCTTTCTCTCTCCCTGTCGAAAACAATAAAATTAAAAACCTTCTTTCTTTCTCTTTTTCTCTCTTTCCGCTCATTATTTCCAACTCCTTTTCTGCAATTACTCTGAAGTTTCTAACTTTCGATGGCTTCGTTGTTATCCGACCTCGAACCTGGCCCTGACACCTCACCAGAGTTTAAAAGGAAGAAACGGAGGATAACGAACGAAACGCCAGCATCTTTTCATCGAAACCAAGTCAACCAAAGAATCAAGCGATGGAGAACCGAAAGAGAGCAACAGGTCTACTCCTCCAAGCTCATCGAAGCTCTTCGTCGTTCTCGTCGGACATCCTCTTCTGCTGCCCCCAATGAAGTTCGAGAAACGGCGGACAGAGTTCTGGCCGTCTCCGCCAAGGGAACCACGCGTTGGAGCACAGCAATTCTCACCAGTCGACTCAGTTCTGGCGCTAAGATGAGGGAACATAGGAAAGCGAAGGTCATCGCAAATACAAGGTTGAAGAAGCCGAAGATTAACAGAGAGAAGAGGAAACTGCCGGTTTTTGAAAGGAAGTTGAAAGTTTTGGGAAGGCTTGTTCCCGGTTGCCGGAAACTATCTTTCTCGAACATTCTAGAAGAAACTAGCGATTACATAGCGGCTTTACAGATGCAAGTTCGGGTCATGACGGCTATTACCGAGTTTCTCGCCGACGGCGTTGGCGGTGGATCGCAGCCGCCTGCTGATCGGCTTGGCTCTAATGTCAACCCGTAAGAAATCGTGAAAAGGTGTTGTTATTATTTATTATTAGTATATTTTTCGAAAACTTTAATTTTTAGTGAGATTTTTAAATTCGTGTATTTTCTTGTATACACGAGTTTTTCTTTTTTTTTATTAGTAAATTTTCTTTTGCTTTTTTTTTTTGGTTTTGTTAAGCATCAATTAATTAATTAATCAATTAATAAAACGTAAAATGCCATTGGCAGCTAGTCTTTGATTCCATGATACAAAAGTTCTGATTTTGGTATAATAATAATAATAATAATCCGCCATTTGTTATTAGCATTTGCCAAAAAAATTGAATAATCGAAGAATTTAGATACCAATTAATGGATTTTTTTTTTTTTAGAATGAATGTTGAAGTAAATTTGTAGTTAAAACAAGGGTGGAAGGGTAATGCAAAGAATTGTTGTCATTTTTTTTTATAAGTGTTTATTAAATGTCATAAATACTAACTAGCATTTACCAAGTTAATAATTATTTTTGTTGTATTAAATTTTAGAGTCCATCAAGTCAAATCCATGTCTGTCTCAACCGTCACACACTCACTCTCATAGTAATATTCATGTCAACCAAATAAAAAAGACCAAAAATACAAGATTTGGGATTTAATAATTTCTTAATTCTAAGCCTAAGTGAATTGAAAGAGAAAAAATGCCAAGTCTTTTCAAGTTGTTCCTATTAGCTAATTAATCACATCTTTGGTTAATTATTTGGAAGCAAAAATAAAAATAAATTTGTGTCGGCAAAAGGATAAGGGGAATCAATGTAGATTTATTGGTAGCCAGTAATCTTGTACGGAAAAAATATTGTCACTTTTATATAACTTTAAATATAACCCCAAAAGAGTAGTACATAAAAACTATTGTGTGTGTGTATATTTGCATTTGCATAGCATAGGCCAAATGGGAGGGTTTATGACCAAAACAGCCTTACAACAACATGTGCCCTTCATGAAGCACATGTGATGTTCCTCCATGGCCCTACATTTTCAAGTGCACCCACCCCTCAAAATGGCATGCATGTGCCCTATGAACCCCCCTTCAAAACTTTACAGGCCATTTAAGAAATGGAAATTTAATTTGCCCAAAACCCAGAAAAAGACAAAAGAAAATAAAGCTTAGCTTTTGAATTGAAATTGCATTACTTTGCAATTTTGTCCACATTGCCACAATGTTGTAAAACGAGGTTTGAATTGAATTTAATGTTTGAAGAAGGGGCAAATGATCACCGATCATAGGAATCTCCTCTTCGCATTTAAGGGCTAACACGTGTGCTAACGTGAAAGTCAAGCTGTCCGCGCGATTTTGGGATTGAGACATGTGGCATGCGCAAGTGGCGTCCACATCAACAGAAGTTTTGGCCATTTTTTGGGAGAGCCACTATTTGCAATTTGGACATCTTATAAATTGGTTAAAATCAAGGACCACATGCCTTGGTTTATGGCTTTTTTTTTTTTTTTTTTGTAGATTTTCTTTTGTCCAACAAATCACGTTACTACTTTTTCATGTTTTCATTGACTCATGCTTTGCCTAATGCCCATTTTTTCGATCACATGCTCCCATGTGCCTTGATTAAACAACAATATGAATGCAACCATGCTCATCCGGTCTGCCTTTTCTTTCTCCATCATTACCTCAAGTAATCGGCTGTCAATTAGTTGAATAATTACCATCTTTTGATTCTTTTCCCTTTCCAAAAGGAAAAAAAAAATCAAAGTTTTTAAATTAAGATTGAATCTTAGCCAATAAAACATTACCTCAATGGTCAAGTAGAGATCTTCAAACCACTATACATTTCATGTTTAAATGGTAAAAGTGAGATCAGATCTATATTTCATGTATGAATCTTACTTTGTACTTTAATGGTTTTTCTTCAAGCTTATATCAACTTCCCTCCAATTAAAAGTTGATAATTGGTTTATTTGTTGGATTTTGCTTTTATACTATATATATGTAGAATTAAGGGCTAATTAATTTGATTGTATTTTAATCGATCTTTGTACACGTATTTTAATTAAAAATATGATAATTTCCAAATCATGAATTTATCTCTTATGAATAAAAAAAATATTGTACTTGGCATCAAGAAATGCAAGAAACCTAAATAATAAAAAAAAAGCATCAATTTATGCATAGGTTCTCTTATAATTAGGAAGTAGGAACCCTAACTCTAAACCACACAAAATAAAGGCAATAAGTTGCCGTGAAGGTTCACTTATTGTAGGAAATCATATGCATAAACTTTAGGTCAGGTGCTCCCAATTTTTCAGAGTTCAAACAGGACAACAAAAAAGAGTAAGTTGGGCAAACCAAATCAAGGGAACAAAATAAGATTAAAAAAAAAAAGGAAGTGTTTGAATTAGGTAAATTACCAGACCGTGTGAAGCTAGCCAGGCCACGCATGCTTTGGTACGTATGCATGGATTGAAAACTACAATTCCTTGCCAAATAAAATTAATGCTGTCCGCAGGGTTACGTGCCCTGCAAGGAAGAGATCGGGGCTTTGTCCGACATTACCTTTATTGAGGTAATTTTCCATTCACTACATATTGGGATGCAATAAAGCCATAAACTTCTTTTCTTCAATTGGTTTAAATTGTTTCCATTTTTCCAAGATATGTTTTTATTTTTTTTCTTCAAGCTGTTCATTTTGTGGGTGCATATGCATGATACTGACCTAACTTGCATGGGAGCATGAGGCCCACTATATATTTTGCAAGTATGAATTCACAGAGAAATTAATTCCTTGTGAATTCTTGTTTGTTATGGTTTCTTAAAAGACTAGACAAGAATTTATGAGCTTGAATTTTCATCTTTGGTGACCAAATTAATGTCAATATTTATTTGCATAATTTTACTATGTATCCTTAATTTTTTACCCCAACCAATGGCCTCTACCACATTGAATTCCAAAATTAAATTGGAATTGATGTTTGATGTTTTACAATTTTCGAATCATAACCTTATATATACACACACGTACATACACACATGGAAATCATTAAATAAAATTAAAAACTTGAGTCCTTCAAATATTGATAGTGATCGATCAAAAATTCTATGTCATAAATTTGAAATACAATTTTATGATAAGTATATGCCTTACTAAAACTTAAGCAACTCAAAACCGAAAATAATTTATGTGACGTGATGAGACTGGAATGCCCTAATGACTATTACCCAAATTTGCATAAATGTTGCCCCTGTATTAAAAACGTTGTGATTGTTAATTAGGAGATCATGCATGCTCAAATGGTTCCATTCCATAATATATATATATTATATATATATATATATATAGTTCATAGAGGATAGATGAATGATGATTCACCTCCAAAACATGGAAAAAAACAAAGGGCAGAAGGGTGAGCTGAGCAGGTGGCAAAAGAAATTTCATTATCGGACTTCCTGTTGTTTTCCCTGCAGTTGTAAGTTGTTATATATGTAAGTGTTCCAGCATGGCGTGCTACAGATCAGTACTTTCTTGGTGGTACCTGGTTTTGGCATGGTTATGCCATGTGACAACCGCTGTCATGTTATAAATGTCGGATCAACCACTGTATATTCTAGTTCTAGTACTGCATGCATTATTCTCCAGGAAATGGCTGCAAATCACAGCCATCATTCAATAGATGGTATTGATGATTAAATAGAATATAATATATAAGGTGAAAGACCTTTGATCCTTAAACTTTTGAGTTTTTACTAGATTAATTATTTTTTACTTATTTTACTTTTCTCCACGTTTTGCATATATAATTAATCTAGCAAAAACTCAAAAGTTTAAGGGCTTGTAACAATGATTTTCTGTAAACACCAATTACTATCGTCTTCCCTATCTCTGCCTCTTCAACTCACATACGCTCACAGTTGGTATTTGAAATAAAAATTTGAAAATATATATAGTTAAGTTTATTAAAATGTAATTGAATTTATATTTAATGTACTGTTAATATATAAATTATATATAGTATCAATAAATAATATAATGTTATCACATTTTTAAAATAAATTAGATGACGTTATTTTATTAATGAATAATTTTTTTATATATTTATTTTAAAAATTATTATTTTTTATTAATGAAATGATATTATATGATTTAATAACAATATATAAAATGTATACATTAAAAATATATCAAATATAAATTCTATGCAATTTTACTTATTTCATAATCATATATAAATTCTACCAAAACATCATATTAAAATTAAGGTGTTGCATAGTTGATAAGTTCTCTTTTTCTTATAGAAAGAGCTTCGCTAATTTCTAAGTACTTTTGGTTGAGCGGCTTCATTAACCAATTGCATGCCCTTACAATGGGCTTGGAAGTTGCTTCATCCAAATTCCTTTGTATAATCTTGACTTAATCACGGAAAACAAGGTAAAGGAATAGCAGTAAAGGACAAATAAACAAGGTACAGCTTCTGAGTTGTCGAAAAGTGCAACGACCATAGGGAATAGGGAGGAGGCCAAACAATAAAAGAGGGACATATAGGGTTGGGGGCCCAAAAACAAAAGCAGAAGAGGACAAAATGTTGTCAAAGAGGAGGGTGTTTCTTGGCATTTAGGCCACATCCAAAGATTAAATTTTGGTTTGGGAAATTCTAAATGCATTTCAAGTTTGCTTTTTAAATTTTATTTTTTTAATTTTGTAAGTAAAATTATTTATCCTTTTTATAAGTTTTTAATATTCATGTCTAATAATTTTTTTAACTTATATAAAATGAATTTTCAAAAAATTATTTAACTTATCATAAATAAATTTCTAAAATGTTATATAAAATTTCTAAAATTTATAAGAGAGTGGAAATTTAAGAAACATTATAAAAAATTTTTTAAAATTTTTTATTAATTAGTGTAATGAAAAATATTATTATTGAAAAATTATAAATTTTTAATTTAATAAAAAATAAGTTGATTTTATTATTTTAATTTTAAAAAAATCTTATGAAATTTTAATTAAATATTTTATTTCTTGATATTACGAAAGATGATAAAAAATAATATTTGATTAATATTTGGAAGTTGAAACTCCTGAAACTATATAAATAATACTACTAAATATTATATAATTTTGTTAAAATTTAATATGTTAATTGAAAAAACTTATAATGACAAATAGGTAAAGAGACTTTTTAAAAAAATTCAATTTAGTTAGAATTATTAAAAAATTTTAATAATTGGTATCAACAAAAATATATTTGTTAAAAATGATAAATTTTAAATTTATAAAAATTTTATATTTAATTAAAATCTCATAAAATTTTTTTTTTCTAAAGTTAAAATAGTAAAATTATCTTAATGAGTTGGCAATCATCAAATGTGAAGTTAAGGGTGGTGCGGTGGTGCTGCCGCGTAAATGAAACTCGGAGCCTCACTCTTTGGCACACAATGTCCTAATTATGATTCCTTGTCTTGTAAAAAAAAGTTTGAGTCTCAACATCTTTACAGCCGTCGGGGCTCCATTGGGACATTCCCCACACGTGGATCCCTGGTGGCTTGGACAGTAACCCACAAGCAGCTGAGGTTTCAAGTCTTCGTTCACCACTTGTTTTCTTTGGTTCGGAACAAGAGCTCTCCATAATCAGCTTCTTTAATTACTAGCTTAAAAGTTACTAAAACATTGCCCATCCTGTATGTACAAGGTCCTGGATGTTGATCTGATTCAAGTTCATAAAGCTTTCGAATGAGTTGCAGAGTTGTATCTAATTAGTTCCTCCAAAGCAGCCTTTACTATTATCAATAGTCAACTTCTCCCAAGAGGCTAGAGTTGCAAACAGCAGTTATATGTCAAGAAATTGCCCATCTTCAGGGCAAAAAGGAAAGGGCTGTAACAGGGATATACGCCTGGATGATACACAGCCCTTAGCAGCCCGAATTGATGCTTGTGGATACGAGGGTTTGGAACCTGCTCAACCCATCATCCAAGCAGCTATGGTTTTTCACAGAAATACTGCAGATTTGCTATTAAAGTACCCTGTTATTTGTTTTCATACCCTTTCCTTTTTTTTTCCCTGTTAATAGATGCTAACAACATTTCAGTAAATAGATGGAATCGAAATATTGAAACACCAGATAGGGGAAGCGGACAGCTCAAGAAAAGAAGAAATCAATGAAGAATATATGAAGCAAGTCATTTTGCTTCACTAAATTCAGTGTGCCAAGCATTGGATATTTTAACCTAAATCACTAAGCTTATGTCCATTGAAACGAGGAGAAAGGTGACCGATGGTTACAAATGGAGGCCAAAAATCTCAGACTATTCAGTCTTACAAAGAAACATTCATCCGTTCACCATACTTTTCTTAGTATACCTCCCGAAGGATTAGACCGCTTAATTAGGCCTTCATGGACTCTGCTCTTGGCCTCCACAACCCCAACCTATATTTGTGGGCATATTTCAGTATCAGTTTCCTCTGCAAGACCAAAATCAAAAACCATGAGTGACTAACTGAGTCCTTGTGAAATGAAATGATAATGCTACAAACACATATATTCTTAATCCACCCTTTAATAGCAGAGATTTTTACACCCAAATCAAACAAATAAATAAAAACGTCATATGATAACAAGATTATTGAAGGTGTCAAATTTTGTTAGGCAATATGGATGAAAACTGCCACAATAAGGCAGTGAAATTGCTCATGAATATAATTCAACTCAGCAAATATCAAGAATATATGCCAAGATTCTACTCTTAAAATAACAACTAGTAATTGTAGTTACAGGATCTAAAGTGTTAGGTTCATGATAAAGCAAAACATGCTCCATAACTAAACATTAAAAGCATCTTCTCTACAACCTATTAAAAGGTTTTTCCCCTTTTGAAGAGAATTAACAAAGTAGAGGGGAAAACTTTTCAAAGTTTATGATACAAGTTTAAAAGGCATCACCTGCTCATACCAAGAAAGTAAAGCCTAACCCATTGCCAATGAACAAACTGCCCATCCCAACAATGTCCTATCTAAGAGATCAGAATACACTCTAAATTGCAGATGCTAACCCATTATAACAACTTTAATTACATTCTATCCTAATCTTTCAAACGATTCGTCAGAGCCCACATCCATAAGCTTAAGCTTTGGTAGATCCCAAGTAGTACACGTTAATGAACTACTCAAATTAATTTAGTATATTAAGCAAATAATAAACAAAGGGTAATAGAATAATGCCATAAAAGAACAGTATCATTAAAAGTTTAGATGCAGTGTCCGGCTTGATAAGCACTATGCTAGAATTTTATCTCCTAAACCAGGAGTAACATTGTTGGAGCAATAAACAAAAAAAAGAAAAGTACAGATAAAATATTAATGATACTGCATAACTGGATAATCAACTATAACTGCATAAAACTGGGATGCATAAGTATTTCATGCAGTTGCTAAGCATAAGCATGCATATTAAACACGATTTCAGTTTAGAGTGTGAGTTGGGAATTATTACATGGTTGCAGGGAATTCCAAGTTTCTTGAGCTTAAGAGTGCGGGTGACAAGCAGTTTCTGAAAGTCACCAATCTCAGCTTCCAGCTTTGCCACATGAGTTTCAACACCATTCCCTACTCCACTCAGAAATTCTGGTATTCCAACCTTCACTGCAACAATAACATGATCACTTCTCAAATTCATTTTTCATCATTTTAAGATTACAATTATCCCAAAGAAATGACCCTTAAAATAGAATTACTTCTCGGGAAATAAATCCTCCTTACAAGACCAGTATAAAAAAGACCCTTGTCATCTGTCTTAGCTCAGGTAATTTTCTTCAGCCTATTACTAAGGCGGAACCAAGTTCATAGTGAGGAAGGTCTACGTAGCTATTTTTAAACTGACATCGCTTGAGAATCCTAATAATCTAAATAAGATGAATCAAAAAGCCCAAATCTCTTTTTTTTATCTCTACTTCTTCTCATCCATTTTCTTATAAAATAAAAGAAATAAAAAACCAAGCCAACTCAAATTAGCATCATTTAGCTATTCATTCAAGTTCAGTGAACCATTAAAAAAAGATCCAAACTTTATTCTCATTTCCTCGTTCTTCTGAACAATACTAGAAGCGTGCAAAATATAAACTTCAGCCCATCAGCTAACCAAACGGCCAAATGAAACAAGCCTAAAGAGGCAAAACCAACAAAACTAACAAGTAAAACACAAATATTCCAACATTAGTTTCCGAGGAACCGAACAGAGCCATGGGTTTGTTTCCTTTTTACTGTTCTTGCTATTGTTTAAGATACAAAGAGATCTTACCAACAGAAGGACTGGACTTGGAGGAGAATCTCGAGAACCCATAGGGATTTGAAATAGGAATTGTCCTTGTGTTGTTCAGAATTTGCATCCATGCCATCGTTAGGATTGATCTGCAGACACAGAGGCAAAGTTTTTTAGGTTTCTCTTTAGCAGCGAACAGATAATGGGGTTTTTTGAGGCAGTAGACGAACTTTTGGGCTACTTAAAACGCCCCCGTTTTATTTACTCAAATAAAAAAGTTTTTGTGTTAATTTCCTTTTTTTTTTTTTGTTAGTTTTGTTTTGTTAAAATCTAGTTACCATTGGAGCATAAATAAAAAAAAAAAAAAAAAAAGGGAAAAAATCGATTCTTCTTTTCTCAAATCTCCATCGGCCTTCACCCGCCACCACTGCCCTCCTACGATATCCCTTTCGTTTCTTCTTCAGTGTCATTTCTACGACACACAAGACAAAGCTAGCAAGCAAGCATTCAAAAACGAAAATGTCTCTTCGGCCAAGGACCCGAACTGAGCTGCGGAAGAAGGATTACAAGACGAGGGTGGATGCAGAAGAAGCCAGGAGGAGAAGAGAGGACAATTTGGTTGAGATCAGGAAGAACAAGCGCGAAGACAATCTCCTTAAAAAACGGAGAGAAGGCCTTGTACTTCAGTCTCAGCAGCCTTTGCGCGATGCGCCACAAAATGCTGCCGCTATTGAGAAAAAGGTGCTTTTTTTTGTTTGGATTTCTTTTTGAATTCTTGATTGATGGTAAAATTTGGGATCTTGATTCTATTAAGCTTATTGTTTCTACTTATCTTAGTTATCATTGCTGTTATTATTCAATAGAACTATTAATTCTTAAGATCAGAAAGGAAGGATTTTTCTTTAGTACCTTCAGTTAGAAAAGTGAAAATATTTGATGAAGATTTGGGCTCTTAACTCAATGGAAATATTAAACTCACTTGATTCAGTTATTCTTCCCTTTTTTTTTAATAATTATTTACTGTACTTGATTCAGTTCTTCTTCCTTCTTTTTTTTTAATAATTTTTTACTGGTATGTGATTATAATGGTAGAAGTATACATATTTTGATAAAAGAAGGGGCCTTTTATTTAAAATATTTAAATTTTTTACGCCTACTTAATAGGGTAGCTATTTTTTTCTTGTATTGATTTTGAGATTTGAGTTGTCTTTTGGTTGAAGGATTTGTCTTAGCTTCCTGTTTTTGTTAATTGTAAAAAAAGTGGAAAGAGGGCGTTTAAGGTTGTGAATTTTTTTTCTAAAGTAGGGTGATAATATTCTGATATTCTCTATGAAGCATGTAGAGGAGTGTTTTCTTCCAATAACTGGTGGCTGTTTAGTTTTATTGCTGATAAAATTGATTTAGGTAAGGAGAAAGACTTAGCATTTTAGATCTTATCTCTTTCATCTCTTTTCATCTTGCGGGTGTTGGGAAAAGTTAGATGTCTATTACTCTATTGACATAATGTTTTTGAAGTTAGGATATCCAAACATCAATTCTCCTTCAATGTAGAACAAGTGTAGGAAAGGATTTTGTTATGGTCCTGATCGACTGAAATTTAGGCTTTTCTTTTCTTTTGTTTTGGATAAATGGAAATTTAGGCTTTTCATTTTGGATCCTGAGCATAATATTCCTGATGATATCTAACATTTGGAAAGTATTCCTTTGATGGTACAAGGGGTGTGGTCCGATGATCCTGCCTCACAATTAGAAGCCACAACTCAGTTTAGGAAGCTATTGTCGATAGGTAAGTTAGATTCCCTAATTCCTACTCCTACAACAGTTCTTTTGTTAATGAATATGTCCATTTACATTGTTGACTTTCATCTAACTTTCCTTGTAGAGCGCAGTCCTCCAATTGATGAAGTAATCAAAGCTGGAGTTGTCCCTTGGTTTGTGGAGTTTCTCAGAAGGCAGGATCTGCCCCCATTGCAAGTACAATGTTTTGTTTCTTTTGTTTAAATTGAAATAATTTGTTTATATTGCTGAGTCTAACTTCCCTTTGATTTAGTTTGAGGCTGCCTGGGCTTTGACCAATGTTGCCTCTGGCACTTCTGAGCACACACGGGTTGTTATTGAACATGGTGCTCTCCCAGTGTTTGTCCAGCTGCTTAGCTCTGCTAGTGATGATGTTACAGAGCAGGTAAGTTCTTGTTTCAATAAATCGTCTTTATCTTCTGTAACCATGTAGGGTGATAAAGCTCTCCTACTTTCCATATAGCTTAGATCGTTAATGTTTTAGTTCTACATTTTCTGCAAGTACCTTACCTGACACAGCTGTATATTTTGCATCCTTTCCTAAGTTGCTTTGTTTTTCTCCCATTTAAATTAACTTATTCTGGAATTTATATCCATATGCTATATATTACTTGCATCCTGTTTTATGTCGATATTTTTGTTCATCCCAAATTTTACTCTGTGTGCATGCATTCTATTAACTATTCCTTTGCAACAGCAAGTGATGCGTTTGCTATCCTCCCTTGGGCTTTAGGTAATGTTGCTGGTGATTCGCATAGCTGTAGAGATCTAATTCTTGATAATGGTGCATTTATGCCATTGTTTGCTCAGTTAAGTGAACGCTCCAAATTATCCATGCTGAGGAATGCTACGTGGACATTATCTAATTTCTGCCATGGCAAGCCACCAACGCCATTTCAGCAGGTAGAGACAGTGGGAGGCTTCTGTGGAATTTGTAATAGGATAGGATTTCACAGTTAGCTTATTGTTGTTTGTTGGAACCATAAATTTTGGTAACTTATGGAGGTTGTGATAACAATCCTTATGTTATTTTCAGGTCAAACCTGCATTACCCATTCTACGGGAACTTATCTAGATGAATGATGAAGAAGTTCTGACAGATGCTTGCTAGGCACTAATCTTTCAGATGGCCCAAATGACAAAATTCAGACTGTGACTGAAGCTGGGGTCTGCCCACGACTGGTGGAACTTCTAGTGTAAGCTTTTGAATAGTCTACGGAATACATGAATGTAAATAACTTATGTTGCCATCCCTCTCAGAATTTTTTAAGCATAGATATCATGCACCATCTCATTTTGGCTACCGCCTATGGTTTTTGCTTCTGTCACAGGTTTTTTATGTCTATATACTTTGTGGGTTTTATACTTGTTGCAAGATTTTGACTAATGGTGCTGACCAAAATTCATTTGTGCCAGTCATCCATCACCTACAGTTCTTATACCTGCTCTTCGGACAGTGGGAAACATTGTCACTGTTGATGATAATCAGACTCAGGTATGAAGACATTTATGCATGTTCACAGCAGTCTTGGCATCATTACTGTTGTTCTTAGATGCTGGTTGATCTTCTTCTTGTCTTTTGTTTAATGGACTCACTTATTTGTTTCATTTGGATTGCTCATAGATCATCTCTAATCTAATTATTAGGATATGGTAAACAAACTACATTTTTTTAAATGGAATCAGTAATTCAAAACTTTAATGTAATTGTTATGCAAAGATAACAATAGTTGTGGAGTGGTTTTCTCTCTTTCCTCTAAAAGCTGCAAAGTAACTTCTGGTATATTTTTCAGTTTGTGATTGACAACAAGGTGCTACCTCATCTCTATCAACTTCTCGTACAAAATCACAAAAAAAACATCAAGAAAGAAGCTTGTTGGACAATCTCTAATATAAAAGCAGGGAATAGAGCTCAAATACAGGTATAGTTTCTCTCTGTGCCCATTCTTTTTATGAAGATTCTATTGTCTCAACACATGCCGTGGCCTGAAAGGTATGATGATAGAATCATCTTGTTTGGCTGCCTATGAAGTGCCAATTATGGCTTTTATATGTTGGCAAAAAATTCCAAGGTGTCAGTAACATGTTGCTAATTTTAGTCCACAGCCAATTGAAGCGTTGCTTATTTGGAGTGTAACTTCAATTAATACTAGTTCTGAAGCAGTGTCTTTTAAAATTAGAGGCACTCATATTGTTATTGATTATTTGTTGATTTTCTGTGGCACAGGCTGTTATTGAGGCCAATATTATTCTTCCTCTTGTACACCTTCTCCAACATGCAGAATTTGACATTAAGGAGGCTGCATGGGCCATCTCAAATGCCACATCTGGAGGATCTCATGAGCAGATTCAGTATGTCTTGCACCCTTTTTGGTTACGTTTCTGTTTTTCTTTTTTAGATCACACATTCATGCATGCTTATAAAAGACACATGAACGCCGGCAAACATCCACACATAGATTCACAAGAGACACACATGCATATAGGCTGATATTGTCCAAATGCAAGATCAACATGATGGTGCCCATATGTATACTCAGATAATGATGGGTACATGAGCTGTCAGCTTGCTCAACTAAATTAGCTAGTTTAACAGGATAATAAATGCTGTTAGCCTTTTCTCTTGCTGTTTCTTTTATCCTGAATATGATGATAATACCATTTATCAATTTTTAGGTCATGCATCTAGGTTGTCAAGATATAATATTTAACAAGTGAATAACAGCTCTATTGGCCATAATTTTCTGGTAATGTGTAATGAAAATAATTTTATCTGGTCCTCATTTGAGTAACCTGATAATTGTTCTTAAACATTTCAATAAATGTACGTGAGACAGTCGAAGACAGAGAGGCTGCCTTGAATGTGCAAACCTCATACAATCTGTGTTTTTTTTTGTTTTTTTTTTTTGCAGATTCCTGGTGAGCCAATGTTGCATTAAGCCACTCTGCGATCTACTAATCTGTCCAGATCCATGGATTGTGACTGTGTGCCTTGAGGGGCTGGAGAACATTCTAAAGGTTGGTGAGGCTGATAAAGATATGGGAATGAATGGTGGAATCAATCTATGTGCTCAAATGATTGATGAATGTGATGGATTGGATAAAATTGAATACCTTCAAACTCATGACAACCATGAGATTTATGAGAAGGCTGTGAATATCTTGGAGAGATACTGGGCTGAAGAAGAAGATGAACAGAATCTCCAAGATGGTGGGATTGAAAATCAGCAAGGCTTTAATTTTGGATCTAACCCTCCCAGCGTTAACCCTGGTGGCTTCAAATTTTGTTGAAGTGGTTATTTTGGGAATTTAATCTCTAGTTTTGTAGTTGTTACTACTTTTCATCGCTGCCAAGGGGTCAGGGTTTTTGTTCTGGCTCATAGGCTTTTGCTTTTCTTTTTTCTTTTTTATTTTTTTAAAATATTGAGTAGTATTTGAAATATGTTGAAAGGGTTTCAACTTGATTTGTGTATCTATATTGTTCTATATTCCTTGTGATTGTGCTAAATCTGAATTAGCGATAATGGCTTTCGTGTACTGTAGGCATTGAGAGTGAAGCTTGTCCTGTTCTAAATCAGAAGTGGACAAGCTGGCCAGTAGAACTAGTCAACTAGTAGTAGAAATATTAGCTTCTTACAGCGTAATGTAATGGGGCTGCCAATGCCCGATGCCATATGGAAATGATAAGTACTACAAACTCTGAAGCTTCTTACAGTAAATCAGATGTTGCATCACTTGCATGAGTTGATAAGCCTCATTTGCAGCCAGCCATCTGAGGAGGAATCCTCCATTACTTTAGCTACGTATAAAGCTCCAACATCTGTGATTTTCCAATAGAATAGCAGTATTCCAGTATTAGAGAAGTTGTATGTCACATGTTTACGTGATACATCATTTCAACAAATGGTTTCCCCCTCCCCTCCCCTCCACTCCCACATAAAATACAAATGCCGTATTCCTATTAGCAAACACCCTCAGCTTACCCTTTTTCTTCCTTTAATTTCACCAATAAATTTCCAACTCTGTCATAGATGCAGAGATAGGTACCAGAATCTTGGACTCCTTTCTCTTCACACACAAACTAGCAAGAATAACAAGCAGCAGCCCATCATGGCCGGGCTAAGCCAAACCCAACTTTGGTCAGACAAAATCATTGTCCAGGCCTGCCACAATGGCATTATGGAAATATCTTTGCAGCAGAAGGGTGGATAAATAGCTTGCAACTATATCAGGACCGATTGTCTGATCATTCTCTTTCCTCTGCATCCTACTCGACAAGTTGAATTTCTAGGTCTAGAAAAGGGATGTCTCTGGTCACGGAAGAGATGAAAGCCAGTGCGTCAGAAATTTACCATGGAGATGAGAGCTGTCAAGAGAAATCAAAGTTTTTGCTTCAGGAAGTAGGCATGCCTAGAGGGCTTTTGCCCTTGAAAGACATCGAGGAATGCGGGTATCTGAAGGACACTGGTTATGTGTGGCTCAAACAAAAGAAGAGCATAACCCACAAGTTTGACAAGATTGGGAAGCTTGTTTCGTATGCACCTGAAGTCACAGCTGTTGTTGAGCAAAGCAAGATCAAGAGGCTGACTGGGGTGAAGACCAAGGAGCTTTTGATTTGGATCACAATCAGTGATATATATGTTGATGATCCAGCGACTGGCAAAATCACTTTCAAGACCCCTGCAGGGTTGTCCAGATCTTTTCCTGTATCAGCTTTTGAGATTGAAGGTGAAGTTAAGGATAACAAGAAGAAGAAGGAAAAGAAATGAATGGAGCTGTGGAAGTGAAGGAGGTGTAGATTCTAGAGGAGTTTCAACTTCCAATAGGAGAAGGCTTCATCCGTGGGTTCCTTCATGGTTTCTCCTCACCTTTTGGATGTGCTTGTCTTTTACAGTGTTTTTAACTAATGTCATTAGTAGCTATCAATCAAAATAAAAAAAATTACAATTTCAGAAAGCCAATGTTGCATTGTATTGCGTGATAGTGTATTTTCAGATAGGACATGAGAGATTTATGTTGCATTGTTGCTTCAACACAACCTATTGGAATTTGGAAGTAATCGATGCCTTTCCTTTGAAGTGATAATTGTCCTCTGATTTTTTTTATTTTTTTTTTATGAGAGGCCTAGGCTTCTTCTTTGTTCACTGTTTATTTATTTAGAGTATATTTTGGGGGTGAAAGAGAAGTCATGATTTGACTACTTTAATTCTTGAAATTTGAAGATTGATGGGTCGTCATCTTAAGATAATAACCTTTCCTTTTGGAACCATAAATCAATACGCCAAAGCCAATGACTGGGAGTTAAAAAGGAGGCCTTGGGAAATAGGGGTTTCGGTTTGGCTTTGGAGTGAGGGAGGTATTTACTTTTTATGACTCAATCCACCCCCCTACCCCCCAAACAAAAATTTTATATAATATATATTAAACTATAAAAGAATATGATTTAAGAATAAGTTAGTATTCATTTCTTCAATTAATCCATTAATCAAAGTTCATATGTCATGGATCACTACTAGCAAGTAAACAAGATAAAAGAAAAAGAAAAATCAGTCACTAACACATACAAATGACCATCCGATGGTCAGTGACAAGATTTCGTCAACTAGCTCTTTTTCTCTTCTTTGGTTTATTTGCATGAGATCTTACATTCTTCTTTGAAAAACTCTTGGGTTTTTGCTTCTTCCTCCGCTGACTGGTTGTGCCATCCAGCTGCTCTTCATTGTCATCTTCCCCAGTAGATGGGGAGTCACTCAAAGACGCATCTTCATCTGAACAAGGCACCAAGTTTTCCACAATATATTGATCCTCATCCACCCCTTCCTCTTGTTTTCTCTTTTTCTTCTCCTCCTTTTTATGAGGCTTGGCCCTTTTGGAAGATAATGGTGTTACTCTACCACAATAATGTTTGGCAATCTAACACAACAACTGCAGTAAAAAATCATTGATGGGAAAGAAAATATTGAGTGCACACTCGCATGCATATCTCTTTCCACAACTGTGTGAGAGAGAAAGAGAGGCAAATATGACAAGCCATACCGGGAATCACCTCCTGGTAACCAGAAAGAACTAAAAACAGAAGCACCCTCATCGTTCCTGATATCATCTTCTTCATCACTAGCTGGTATCTGATCAAGCTTACTCCCAAAGATAGCCTTTCACCCACAAGAACACTGAAAATTACATGCATGCTATTTACATAGTTGTCTTAACACAGTTATAATATAGACAGAATGAATCAAAGAGAATGAACAATAGACCTGGATTCCATCATTGAATCATTTCTTTGTTTTGCACTTTGGCGCAGAGTTAAAAACATATTGTGAAAGAGGACTAGTACCCATCTTTTTCTCATCCTACGAGCAACAAAATGCTTAGTAAATCTTCATGTGATACCGAATCAAGAATGTTAAGACAAAGCATTCAATAGATCTTGTTATAATAAAATAATGGAACACAAACATCATTATGCAGCTAACAAGCTTAAACAGGACAATGACAGGAGTCTTAAAAATAGCAATATTTACTCAAAGACACTCTAATTCACAGGTGATACAAGGATGATTACAGAAGTAAACTTTTCTAAGCAGAAAAGTGCAAATGATACCTTAGTTTTCATGTTGAGTGCATTCCACAGAAGCATTGCTAACTGTCTAATGAAAACAAATGCATGCTGATATGCAGTTAGAAGGTCCACACGAATAAGTTCTATGACACAATTGGTGAGAAACTGGATGTGCTGTAATTTTACCGCATTCACGAAGTGGCAGTTCAAAACATAGGCCTTGTGAATCTCTCTGAAACACTCATCTAAACAATCAGATCCTAGGTGAACACAAAGATCCCTAAGAAATAGAAAGGCGACAACAGGGAGAAATCACCCCCTATACCACAAAAGTGAAGTGCTACCTGGGAAAAAAGGAAAATTTTATTTCTTGTTTACCACGTAATGAAAGATGAAAAATAAAATAAAATAAAATAGCAATGGAAGACCAAGAAACACTGCATTCAGTACCTGCTCGCAAGCATATTCCTCATTCCTAAAACGTTTAAGACAATATCCTCAACATAGGAATAGATTAAGCCTCAAGTTATCCCAACTGATAAATGAATTTCACACATACAAGCATATAAAAGGTACAAAAGGGTTCTAGATTCCAAATGCTAATGTTGCTTGTTCAAGACTACAACCTCAAGTGGACCATAAAACAAGCACCAACTTCAAAGAAATCATTGAATTTGAAGAAAATCCCATATAGTTTTCGCCTTTCTGCATACCTTAATTTATTTCCTCAAAAGGCTTGGAAAAGCAGCCAAAAATATAGATGAATATTGGAGACGCCTTAAAGTGAATGATATCATTTTCATGTCAGCATTTGGTTCAAAATGTGTAGGGCATTTCCAAGATATGACTTCACTAACTGGTTGTAGCTCTTCCATTGTTATGTGTTCATTAGCTCATTTATGGTCTCTTTCTTTCCACCAGAAGCAAGAAGTTTCAACAATTTGCGGAGAATTCCATCCATTTCAGATAGTGTAAACAACATTGTTTTGTTAAATACCCTCTGGACATGATGACAGTAAACTTTGCTGATGTGTCCCCAGTATCATCACCGTGGTGACAAGCGGTCCTGACTCCTGAAAGCTTTCATTAGACAACGAACCACGCTTAGTTTTCCATCCTCTCGAATTGAATTAAACCAGAAATAAATCATTGCGGTAGTTACAACATTTTAGGATGGTTTCTCCTCCTCCTCAGCGATATCATGCTCATGAGTCTCATCACACATCTAGATTTCTGCATCTTCCATGTCAACATCAACATCAACATCATCCTACAAAAAGATTGAAACATTTGAAATTGCACCTTAATTTCTGCAGCCATTTGAAACAATAAACACTCCAACATAATTTGCCTAACTTACATCAATATCCTCATCATCAAACGCAAGAAGCTCTTTGCCATCTTCTTGCAAGTACTCATAGAAATCTGGATCCCGTAAAAACCAATTTAAAAAATGTTGAAACTTTCCGCAATGAGCTAACAAAACATAAAAAGAAGAATTTAAGATAAAAATTCAGAAACCCCAAAAAGAAAGAAACAAAAAACATAGAAAGGAAAGAAGAAACCTTTTCTGGAGCCTTTCAAGCTGCTCTTTATGTTCTTTAGCTGCACTCTGAGATATTGAAATTGTTTTACCTTTTCGCCCTTTTCTCCCAATTCATCGAACACTAAGAAAATCTCTTTCTCTTTCTCTCTCTCTCTCTCTCTCTCTCTCTCTCTCTCTTTCTCTATACATATATATCTGTGGATAATCAAAGTTGGAAGAATTACAATCTGATTTGAAAAGAGAAAGAACTTCGTATCAAAATTAAAATCACGAAACCGTTGAAACCTTTATTAGTTGCGAGATTAGGGTAACTCGACGGCAGTGTTTGGGTGTTGGTGGCGACAGCGCGTACGACAGCCCACCGGTGATTTTATGCTCCGGCAGGGTTTCTTCGTCGGCTAAGTGTGTTCCTAAATGTTTTTTGCTGTTTATTTTTAAATGGCGGTTAAGACCGTTAGCGTTTAAGGGGGTGTCTGAATTTCCACTTTTAACCCCAGAAACCGGTTTACACTATTTAAGTTATTATTATTGTTTTTTTGACAAAATATTTAGTTTAGGCATAAGATTGAAAAAGTTGATTGATTTTGCGCTTAATGGAATTAGAATCGAATCGATTATGATAACTTCAATCATGCTTGATTCGATTTGATTTGATTTTGTTATGTAGTTTTTTCAGGAATTTTTGAACAGCATTTTATTTTTTTTAATTTACTATATTTAACCTCAGCTATACGCAAGAAGTAACAAATGAAGAGGAGTTTGTATCAAAATGAAAGATTATACAAGATGAAACAAACTGATTCCCTAAGCAATTTGTTGAAAAATTGATTTCAAGGGAAGAAAGTACAGGCTGCGTTCTCCTTTCAACAGTAACTTCTTCTTTTCCATCTACTGGCTTTAGGCTCACCAAAAATGGCCCTCTTCTCCAGAAAGACTCCTGCTCTAAAGGAAAATTTTCTAAGCTTCCATTTCTACCCAACTTAGGGCTCTGCTCATTTGGAACCAGATTATGTTCAGGAATTCAGTCCATTTACATAGATAACAAACTCTTCTGGTTTTGTTCAGCTTCTGCTTCTCCTATTCAAGTCCCATCTTCTAGATCATGTATCACACAATCTAAATCAGGCCTATATCCTGCTTTCATATGTAGAATAAGCAACTCTAAAACCTCATACACCCACTCTGTGTTAGACCCAACCTTACCACCAACAACAAAGCTGTAAACCCGGTTTCTTACCTCAATCCAACTCCTTCCTGGCTCTTTTCTACTCCCGGTTCTTCTCATCAACTTTCTCGTTCTTGCAAATTCCCCCCAATTACCCTCAGCAGCAAATATATTTGACAAAATCATATAAGCCCCCACCTTATTTGGCCTCAAATCCAACACCTTCAAAGCTGCTAATTTTCCCAAATTTGGGAGCTTATGTGCCTTACAAGCACCAAGAAGTGCACCCCATACAGATTCATTAGGCTTAAATGGCATGCTCTCTATCAGTTGATAAGCCTCCTCAACTCTCCCAGCACGGCCTAGCAAATCAACTACACACCCATAAATCTCCTGATCAGGGGTGACGTTATAATTACTCATTGATTCAAAACACCTTAAGCCTTCATCTATAAGTCCAGCATGGCTGCAAGCACTCAGAACTGCCATAAACACTATCCTGTCAGGTCTAATTCCAGACCTGACCATCTCATCAAACAACTCAACAGCCTCTTTCCCATAACCATGTGCCCCATAACCAATCATCATAGAAGTCCAAGAGACCAAATTTCTATCATACATTTCACTAAAAATTTTGCGTGAGTCAGCTATGCTTCCACACTTGGCGTACATGTCAATTAGGGCATTAGCCAACACCACATTCTTCTGGAGGCCCCTGCGAAAAATGCCTCCATGAACCTGTAGCCCGCAATTCAAAACTGCTAAATTTGCACAGGCAGCAGTAATACTGGTAAATGTGAAACAATTTGGACTAAAACCCTCTGACTCCATTTGAGAGAACACATTCAAGGACTCTTTAGAATCTAGTCTTTCATGACCAGCTATCAAGGTGTTCCATGTGATCAGGTTTTTTTCAGTCATCTCATGGAAGTATCCATTTGCCTCAGATAAAAAACCACACCTACAATACATGTCTAGTATAGAATTCATTACAGGGAGATTAGACCCAAGCCCGTTTTTAATGATGGCCGCATGTATTTGCCTGCCAAAAGTATGTGAGCCTATCATAGCACAAGCTCTAACGGCAATTGAAAAACTATAAGGATTTAACTCTGCTTCCTCCTGTTCACAAAAAAATGCAAAAGCAATGACTAAAACAGTTTCATGACATGCTAATTCAAACCCAATATATTAAGGTTGTTTCACATTCTTGAGAGAGCAGCATTTGTAAACTAAACTAGATAACTTAAACTACCAAGGTAATAAAGCATAAAACGTCTAGTACCACAAATAAAACTGGGAAGTTTCCATAATGCAGCATAAACCCAAATAAATTCGTAAATTCCACGCTTGTTTTTTTAACAGCTTACCAGTAACATTTCTCTAAAGACTTGAAGTCCACCATAGCCATCGCCTCTATGAGTATACCCAGTGATCAAAGTAGTCCAAGTCACCACATTTTTCACTTTCATATCTCTAAAAACAGAGCATGCATCCTCTATGCTAACACAACAAGTAGCGTACATTGCCATAAGTGCATTATCAACGTACAAAGAACCCTCTAAGCCACGTTTTATAGCCATCCCATGAACCAAACCTCCATATGCAAGACATTGCACGGATTTGCAAGCCTTTAACACATTAGATAAAGTAAAAGCATTGGGCTTCACCCCCCTATTTACCATCTCACAGAACACAGTCCACGCATGGACATGATGGTCGCATGAAGTGTAGCCAGCAATCATGGCCGTCCACATAACCACGTCTCTTTCAGGCATTTCATCGAACAGAACACGTGCGTCATTGATCAAGCCCTTTTCAAAGAATGATTTGATGACATTTGTGGCTAATATGGCGGGGCCTTTTGCTCCTTTGTATAGGTGGGTTAAGGGCATCTTTGTCCCGGTAGAGTAGTTTTGGACCCATTGAAGGGAGTGTTTGATGGAAAGTAGAACAACTCTTCTAGCAGTGTGCATTATAACCATAAAGCCAAAGGATGTTTGTTGTATTAATGATTGAATCACTTTGACATGAGTTTAAACAAGAGGAGGGCAGAGCAGAAGCATCTAATCGCTTTTGTGTTGCATTGCACCATGTGGACTAATTACCAAAACCTAGTTGGACCTAAATATTGGTCCTTCAATTTACAAATATGGGAAAATTTTTGTTAATATATATATATATATATATATATCTGTATGTGTGTGTGACAGAAGAAGTCTATTATCACACTTAACAATTGTTTCATATAAAGAGTTTCCAGAAACACTTGAATGCTTACAACTTTAAATTTCTCTTGGAAACTCTCAAATTTGAATCAGATGGAATAAAATTTATGGTTTTAGGGTTTAGGGTAAAGCACAAAAGCAATGGCCAACACAAACATGATAGGGAATGTCCTGCTGTACTGCTTTGTGATAAAGAAAATTGTTAAACAATATACAGTCCAGGTAGGAGCCATAATATAAGCTCAGGCTCTGTTGATCCCAGTCATTTATACTTTGAATGCCAAGAATCAACTTGGGGTGATTGATGAATATATGACTGTACTACTGCACCCGTTTGTAATACAAACCATTTGTGTTTAGATTGAGGAGAGAGGAAGAAAAGAAAAAGAAAGTAAAGGAAATAAAATTTTTATTTTTTTATTTGAATAAATATTTAATTTAAAGAAAGGGAAAGAGGTGAAAATTAAATAATTTTTTATTTTTTTTAAAGTTTATCTTTTTATTAATATTAAAAATTTAATCAAAAAATTTAAATAGATGATAATTATCTTATAATTTGTTCAAAGTTATATTTTTTTTTAAAGTAAATTTCATATATATCTTTTAATATAAAAATTTTTTATAATTTTTTGGTGATTTGATTTTGATGAATAATTAAATATAAATAAATATATTTTTTAAATTTATGAGATATCAGACTAACTTAAAATTCATTAATGTATATTTGTAAAATATTTTTCTGTTTTACTTGATTAAAAATCATTGATATAATAATAATTATGCGATCAGATAAAATAACAAATATATTATAGTTCATGAATGCTATAAAATCACAGGTAATAAAAAATTATAATTGAAAAAATTATTATAATGAATTTTTTTTTTTCACTTTTTATCGAAAAATGATTATTAAAATTCTTTTTTTTTAATTAAGTTTAATTATCCAAATAAAAATTATATATATTTTCTTTTCTTTTAAAATTTTTTTTTTATTAATATTTATCCAAAGATAAGTGATACAGATTTTGAGAGAGAACTGTGTCCTTCCATGACAAAGGAAAATGGTGTCCGAATCTAAGAAGGAAAAGCATAAAAGAGAATGGATTAAACCGTTTTTAAGAAAACGCTTTAATATATTCTAGAATGGATCAATCATATGAGAGAGAGAGAGAGAGAGAATGGAAAATGTAAATGCTATTGTTTGCCTCTTTGATGCCCAGGGAAGAGAAGTTGAAAGAATTGAAAATCAATAACATCTCAGGAAAGACTGCAATACATCATACAGACAACTAATATATAGCAAGTGAAAGAAGATTTATTATGACACTTTTTTTCTGAGAGATTCATTATACTACAAAAATATTAGAGGTAACATAAAAGACGTCCGATTTGTAACCCTAGTTCACAAAAATGGTTACATGCCACACTTCTCAACTTCTCCTTCTCTTCGAGTGCATTTTCTTTTCCATGTCATTCTTTGTATTTTACTTTTGAATATTCAGACAACACTAAATGCTGATTGTATAGTGGAAGAAAATCTCGACGCAATGGTCTGGGAGGCAAACTGTTGAATCTGCTTCTTGGCATCTGAAAACAATATTTTATTGTTAATTTACAGGGTGAAAAATAAGCCGAAAAAAATATGCAGGAGAGAAACAAATTAATTAGGGATAGAAACATTGCAAATTCTGTTGCATCCTAAATCCCAATTTTCCCAATATTTTACTGAATGGACCTCATGGTGCCTGTTAAAAAATGGTACATGCACTCCAATCTCACCAACTATAGTCTTGATAATTAAAGTTCATCACCTATATCATTACTCAAACTAAATATATAGGAAGAAACAAATCAAAAGTTGAAACCTGCAACAAACCAAGAATATGTGTGCAAAGAAAAGCAAATATATGGTAGCCAATGTTGGGTTTACACCAAGTATAGTCACTACCCCTGATGGTCGATTTCCTTATGCAATCTAATAGCACCAATCATGCAGCCAAATGAAAGGTAAAAAATGAAGGACTATATTTTTCTTCTTCCTCTCTTAAAAATTGAGATCATTACAGTATCCACAGATAATCATAATTTGCTCAAGGAAACATGTAAGAGGCAAGACAAAACTAGCTATCTAAATATCCAAAAGATATTTAAACTAAGTTATAAATTTAAACTGGGAAAACCTTTCACCTATAATGAACCTATCTTGCATCACATACAACAAATATTCACTTGGAAACTCGTCTCTACTTAAAATTTTCTTGGCATCATAAATTATTTTAAACTAAGTCATAATTAAGTTATTAATCAGGATGCCATTTCCTTGTCTCAATTTAGTGAAAAAGTTACATAAAATAGCTAGACTATGGCTAAAAGTTATACTAGATAACCCTTTCAACCAAGCATTGTTTATCATAATAAACAACAAACCTTTGCGACATTTTGTGAAGCCAACTATATTTGCAATGCTGAGAGTCAAGCAAACTCCAACAACAAGGAGATAATCAGCTTCAAACCTTATGAGAGAGAATATTCCAAGCACAATCCAAGCAACTGCCTGAAAAATTAAATAATGAATTAATGACTTTATCATTTGGGACATAACTCTATTGGTATATACTAAAGCAAGGGATAAACTTACTGAAAGGTAAAGGGTCCACCAAAACAGCCATGAATCCTTCTTGTTCATCCGGGCCAAGGACTAAAGTAGACAACAACAAGGAACAACCAAGAGACTTGGTAATGTTATACATGAAACTACATATATGGTTTGGTTAAAGGAAACACTCACCTCTTGGTCAAGACATTCAAATCTCCACACACTCTCACCAAGATCATTAATTTCGTTCCACCACCTCAAACCAACTAATATACGTCCACTCACATTCTTAACCACCCAAAAATCAAGGGCAGAAAGAAGAACAGTCACCACAAAAATGATCACAAAGTTGTCGAGAAAGAGAGCAGAAAGGATGTAAAAGGCCAACGCTGCAGCCTGTAGGAAACAAGAAACTAAACATCAAAACTGCAAAGGGCATAAAATCAGATTCACCAGATCAAGATGATTAGAGGCACAAAAACAATTGACCTTGAAGAGAACATGAAAGAAACACGTTTTGGGGTTGGCATAATTTTCACCAGGAGGCTGCACAAAGGAATAAATTTAAAATCATCAGAAAGAATCAAACAAATACTCTTAAGCCCCAAATAAACAGTTGGCTTTCGAATTAGTAACATTTCTATCTAATTTTCATGTTCCAAACAAATACACAACGCTAATAAACAGTGGTAATTAAGCTTGTTCAATTCACCATCTTTGTTCCACCAAATTATTGAAGCAACACAAAGTTGAAATTTTTTGCAGGCCAAAGTTGGATATCAGGATCTACCTTGAACAATCAAGGGTTGTTTACGAAGATTTATTAACAAATGGTCAGTTTTCTTCTGTTTTTTATGATCAACTATACAAAAGGGTCCCAAAAGACTCAGATCTAGCAATCAACCAATTGAATAAGACCAATAATACTAAACCCACAAGCGTCATACCTAGAACAAGTAATAACAAACCAAGGAAATCTGATAAACTAGTAAAAACAGAAAAAGAAAGGGAGAGATGGATGGACTCACCTGACTAAAATCCATTGCGGGAGGATGCAAGAATTTGATGGGTTTTAAATCTTTTGGCGAATTTACAGGGATTCAATACAAAAATTGATTTTTTTTCAATTTTTTTCAGAGAAATTTTTCTTGAGCTTGTCTTGGTTTTCTTTGTAGATGCAGCTAAAATAAGGGTTATTTACGAAAGAAGGTCCCTAATATCGGAGGAATTACTCTACAAACTCAATTCTCAAGTCTTTTATTTACCACCCTAGACCCAATGGAAAAGCTTTTTCTACTACTATTACTACTAAGATTAAGATAGCAGAATTAAAAGCTTCTTTGACATTAATCAATTTTTTAGTAGTATTGTATCTCCATTTATTTTCCTGCACTAATTATAATAAAACTAGACATTTTTAATTTTTTTTAAATAAATTAGATTTAGATTATTGTGGCAAGCATCTCAAATTAGATCGTTTGTTTATATTGAAGGGAATGGTTTTGAATAAGTAGTTTTCTTTTCTGATTAGCTAAAGGTTGGTTTGTTTTATTTTTTTTTTCAAGTATAATGTACTTCTCATTCTTTTGGGCTTTAGGAAGAAGACAAAATCAACATTAATAAACTGAGACCACATGATTGGGCAAGAACATTTCCCCAGTTTAGTTTACTATTGACCTCAGAAGTCCTTGAGCTCGGAAAACAAATTATGATTGCTGATTAGACTCCAACTCAAGGTCATTCAGGCACGCTGCCGCCTAGACCTTCCAAACAAAAAGTGTTTTGAGTTTGATGAACTAACTGATTGTTTGGGCTTGTTTGTTTTGGCTTGTGGCACTGTTCCATTGTTTTACAATGCAATGCAACACTCCAATTGAATGGGAGGGAAGCTGCCTGTGGATATAACCAAAGTGAGGTTGGACATTGTCTTAACCTCATTGTTTGTTAGGACATAGAACAAATCCTGAATTACTAAATGTATTTCAAATTTCAGTTGCAACTTACACGCAAAGCAAGCTTAGGCTTAGGGAGCGATAGAGAGTGAGTGAAGCAGCATGTCATAGCTGGACTTCTTTGAGGCCTGTCTACATATATGGCCCTTTGAATTACAATCCTGTTGAAGAATGGTCCTTCCACCAGCAGGGCACCCTATTCCAATTCCCAACTCTGGATTGCAAATAACCCAACTTGGTCATGTAAAGGTTAGTGAAACTGCAAGCCTCCTGGCCACTGCATGTTTGCTATTTAAGTTGCACATGGATGTCACTTTTAAATGTCTCTTATATCTATTTCAGAAAATAATTTATCTTGTTGAGTTGCAAGTTTTACTATGTTTTATAAGAAGCATAGCACCTGCTTCCTAGTAATTAGTTGGAACTTGGAAGGATCCAATATGGCACCTAGACAGTCAGTTAAGTCTTCCTGAGTCCTGACACATATAATGGTCAGCACAAGTACTATTTCTCCAAGTTGCTTCCGATCCATGTAGCCAAAATCTAATGTGCTTGTCCAATAAAGTTTCTGTTGTAGGATAAGCAATTTAAATGATTTTTATCCCTTGCGATATTGAGTGAGAATGATGAAACATAGTTGTAGAACTCCAGGTTCTTGGTAATGAAAAAGCCAGAAAGCAGGTACTCAACATTTCAGGAGAAAAATATGTCACTTTTGATGGATTAGCTAGGACATGTGGCAAGGTAATTCCATCCTTATTTATTTTTTTTTTGCTGAATTGATAAGAATACATGAGAAGAGATTAAAGTCCACTGAATACTACTTACTGCATTTGCTATTCTCCACCCAAGCAGCTGGATTTCCTGAACCGGAACCCCGAGGAGTTTTACTTAGGTAAAAAGAAGGCATTCCCATTCCGCGATTAGGTAAATCTTGACAAAAATTTCATTCACAACTTCAGAAGAATAAAGTAAATAAATTACTTTTAAGTCTTTGCAAGAAAGAGAAATTGAAAGGATAAGGCTCCATTTGATTGGATGGAGTTTATGTTCCTGCAGAAACTTGAATTCCTGGCAGAACACCTTGTTTGAAAATTTCATTTGGCTCACCTTTCTCATATATGCTTATTTTTCAAATTTACAAAATGGCAGAAGTTTCGTGAGAAATGCTAAAACGTCTGTTCGTATTGCTATCTGCATTGGTCAAGAGTAGAGACTTTTCATTGCAAATTTCTCGCCATAGTCACATCAGAAATTAACTATCAAGTTACGTTTTCCAAAAAATAATAGACCTTAGGCTGCAACTTTCTTATGAAATAGTGGTGACTTGGTCCATTTTGGTTTTAGGAACAAACTTGGCTGCAGACCAAGTGACTAGAAATTTACATCAGACAATTTTTCAGAGTAATTTTCTTGCCATAGTAACATCAGAAACTACTCCCAATCTCTTATGGTTATAGCAACAAGATGGACTGCAGAGTACAGACCAAGTCATTGTATTAATCTACATCAAGGAACATGTTTTAATAATATCATCATCACCTTGTTCATTTATATATAGATGATATATATAATGCAGCATTTCTTTGCATCAATTGAGAAAGCAAAGCACGTGCGGGGATGGAAATCTGAATTTGACCTGCTGGAAGGACTTGCAGACTCGTATACATTCAGGAAGGAGGCTGATTCTCAACTGATGACATGATACTTGGCAAAAGCCTTGTTCTCCAGGCATAGACCATTCATCTCATCACCATAAAATTTTGGCGTTGTCATTTCTCCCTTATATTTCCCTCAAGTTCGTATAGAAAATGTTTAACTGATATATATATGCACTGTTTTCCCTCAATTTGGAATGTGGAATTGTAACCAGGCCAGTGGCATCAGCCCCTTTCTAGCATCTAAAGCTATCATTTTCAGAACCTTATAGAATTAATACTAATCTTATTCAATATCCAAAAAAATTTTCTTCAGCAGAACTTCAAAGTTTGGATGTTCTTCAGCACAAAAGTTGAAGTATAAATTTGCACAACATCAACATCGGTGGAATTGGACTTTTCTTTGCCTATGTAAGATAGACATATAGTCTTAACTGTTAACAGACACTACATGGTTACTGTCCTAATCCATCAAGCTTTGGCAGACTAGGTGTGTATAGACCGGAGAAAGGTTTGAGATCTTTAAGTGAAAAGTTCACTGAATTTATTGAACCTTGTACGCTCGAGCAATTACTAAAGTTTCAATTTTTAAAGGATAAAGGAAATGGAGAGATATGTCGGCAGACTTTTTTGTCATGGTATGGGCTAAATCAGTGTGACAATACCTTAAAAACACGTAGAGTCCAAAGGCCTTATTGGATCCAAAAAGCAATGGCCTGCTCTGAAACAACAGCCTCTTGTAATCCTGACAGTGTCATCCAATCCAAGTTCCGACACCAACCAACGAACAAGGAAGCCAAGAATTTGACAATGTCATTAGTTAATGCCGACCACGGGTTAGCAGTTGGCAAAGCAATGGGGTTTTCACATTTTGCCCACCAAATTAATGTAGATAGGTAGAGTAGTTAACAAGTTACTATCAAAGAAAGTCTGACGTAAACTTGCCCCCACATTATCCGGAGAATTAAGAGAGAAAAGTACGCTTAGATTTTTCACCTTTAAAAATAATTCTTTGGTGATATAAAGCGTAAACTATGCCAAAGATGTGACGAGTTAGTGGCTAAACTTAAGGAAAAAGAAATCCCCACCCTTTAATAGTTTCCTTTATCCTTGGATAGCAGACCAAAAGTAACGATAAAAATTCGATTAAGAAAAAACACAAGAATTTTATAATATATTCTCGTTCTAAAAGTCAAAAGTCAAAAATTGAAGATTATTTTAAAAAGATTATCTTAGAAATTTGGTCGGTTAGTCAAAAATCAATAAAACAACATTATCGCTAAATATTAGGTGATAAAACATTTCATTATCTTAATGTAATTGTAGGCCATGTTTGGAGTAACTAACTTAACTAGAAAATTAAAAAAAAAAAAAAAAAAGTCACGGCAATGGCTCTGATTGGAGTCATTAGACCATTGATTCAAACAAAGCCACCTGACAACAGTGCTGACACATGGCATCTGATAACCCCATAGGGACCGACACACAAAAGATGTAGTGGACCCTACGTGACTTTGCCAATAAAAATAGAATAACAACAACAACACCTCTGAGGAGGCCACCTGGCTTCCAGTGGATTACGTGGCTATACCACAGTGGACCCCGAACCACCCACGTTGAAATGCGCCACGTGTGATCCGAAATCTACGTGGATAATTTCCTTATGGCTTTTGTGCGGGGGGATATGGCCTTAGTCGGTAGATGCCGGGTGGGGGTCGTTAAGCTGTGAATAAAATTTTAACTAACCCTCTTTCGTCTTTACTTTTTTTTCATTTTGTTTTTTTGTTAAATCAAAGTAAGCGTCGTACATTTGCAACCCAAAAAAAAAACTTCATGAGACTATGATTTTTCTTCCACCCTTAATATAAGGTCAAAATTAATGAATAAACAAAAGACGTTGCATTAAGAATCACCTCTAAAATTGAAGTGTTTGGTTGATAGATATATTAACACAATTCTATTAAACAATTAATTTATGTTTAATATCTAAAATTATAATAAGATATGATAAAATAATATTATGAATAATATTAAATTAAATAATATTATCGTATTTTATATTTAATATATATAAATATTATAATAAGATAATTTATTAATTTATTAAAATTATTTTTTTTAAATTTATATAATTTTTAAAAGTATAATTAAACATGTAAATTTAATCTAAAAAATTAAAAATAATCTTCTCTACTTGAGAAAGATTAAATAATTTTATGTCAAGAAAATATTAATCATCTTCGTAATCTTTATCTTTATCTTTAAATACAAATTAAATATGATATAAGATAATTATTATCTTATCAATAATTTTATATATCAAATATGAGTTCTAGATATATAATTGCAGTAAAAAATAATAATAAAATATCTTTTATTTCAGCTTTTTTCCTTTGTTTTAGTTGGTTGATTTGTACCATATATATAACAAATTTGGGGAAAAATCAAATTATTTAGGGTTAGACAAAGGTAGCCTTAGATATGTGTGATATTAAAAACTCGTCTAAAACCATATAAATATAGTATTGAAAGTGTTAATCAAAGAATTGATAGGGGCGCGCTCCTGTTCAATGAACATGGAATGGAACAAATATTAATTAGGGAGGGTATATTCTAGTATCAATATAATATTAAATTTCGCTAATAAATGAATTCGCTCTTTCCTACCACTTTCCTTTCGTGCACCGTCCATTTCCAAAATTTAATCTCTCACTAATTGCTAGATTAAATATTTTCTCAATCTGATCAGTCGTTGGACGCTGACAACTGATCATAGATACACCAAAACCACTCCTATTTACACTCACCGTAAACGCCCCCTTAGCCTCTTCTTTATCCTTAAGGCTTAAGCCATAAGGTAAGCTTAACAGTGTTGGTCAAAGAATCAATATATACGTGGATTTCACTACCTTAGTCATTAGTTAGTCACACCTCACAATCTTACTTTTGCAACACACAGAACAGAAACGGACTCCTTTAATTTTATAATTATTATATTTCACAACATCATAAATACTTTTTTTACTACAGTAAACCAATCCATTTCCTACATAAACACCCCTCCCCCCCTACCTAAGAACCTCACTCAAGCCACAAACAAAGTTTCTCTTACATACCATACAGCCACTTCTCTCAAATTAAATTCCTACACTCATTTTCCTTCCAACCAATCACTCTTAGCACCTTAAACACCGAGACACACACACACACAAGAAAACAAAAAAAAAAACTCGTACCCTTTTTACCCTATAAGCAAAGCATATTTTTTTTCACATTTGTGATCGAAAACCCGTTATTCCGGTTACAAACATGGCACCAAATATCACCAGTACCAAAGCTGTCAAGATAACAGCCAAGGCTCCAACCCCTCCTCCCAAAAGGGCTTATGTTACGTTCTTGGCAGGGAACGGGGACTACGTTATGGGCGTGGTGGGGTTAGCCAAGGGACTGAGGAAGGTTAAGAGCAAGTACCCACTCGTGGTGGCTACCTTGCCGGACGTGCCAGAAGATCACAGAAAGATTCTGGTGGATCAGGGGTGCATAGTCAAGGAGATCGAGCCTGTATATCCACCTGAGAACCAGACCCAGTTTGCCATGGCATACTATGTCATCAACTATTCCAAGCTGCGTATCTGGGAGGTATGTTTTTGCATGTGGTACTGTTATACGTAACTTTCTGTCGATTTTTTTTTTATCTTGTTTTGGGCTCATGGGAAAGATCTGGGGATAGTGCCACGTGTTACGAATAGTTATTTTGTTAAGGTTGTTTTTGGAACTTCAGTTAAAAACTTGTTTGGTTTGTTTTGGATTTTCCGAGAATATGACAAGTATTTCCTTGTTGTCATACGATGTTTCAATTTTCCAAACTACTATGGAAAAAATGTTTTTCGTTTTCCACTTTTTCATTTTCTTGAAGTGGAGTTGGGTAGGTAAACAAGCGAGTCTCATTTCCAAACTTATGGCAATACATGTCTAACTGTGTATATGCTTCCTCTGCTTAATTAATAGTAAGAGTTTTTCCTATCCTTATATTTTGGCATAAATCAAAATTTTAGGCCTTTTTCATGGGGTTATTAAAAATAAAAAAATGTGTGATTAAAAAGATGACCTTTTTGGTAAAAAATTTGTCGGATCCTACAAATTGAATAACTTTCTTACTCTTTATATATATAATTCAAATTGCAGTTTGTGGAGTATTCCAAGCTGATATACTTGGACGGAGACATCCTAGTATTTGATAACATAGACCACTTGTTTGACATGGAAGATGGTTACTTCTATGCTGTGATGGATTGCTTCTGTGAGAAAACCTGGAGCCACACCCCACAGTACAAGATTGGCTACTGTCAGCAGTGCCCTGATAAGGTCCAGTGGCCTTCTCAGCTGGGTCCTAAACCCCCTCTCTACTTCAACGCTGGAATGTTTGTGTATGAACCCAGCCTTTCTGTCTATGATGACCTCTTGAGTACTCTCAAAGTCATCGCTCCTACCCCTTTTGCTGAGCAGGTAAGAATTAAATTCCACGTCGAATTTTGTAATTTGATACTTAATAATTTCCCGTTCTCAGTCCTGATTCTGATGTCTTGTGTTATTATTATTATTATTATTTGTTTTTGCAGGATTATCTGAACATATTCTTTAGGGACATTTACAGGCCCATCCCTCCAATTTACAACCTGGTCATGGCCATGCTATGGCGCCACCCAGAGAACATTGAGCTAGAAAAAGCCAAGGTTGTTCACTACTGTGCTGCTGGCTCCAAACCGTGGAGGTATACTGGCAAAGAAGAGAACATGGACAGGGAAGACATTAAGACGCTGGTGACAAAATGGAGGGACATTTACAATGATGAATCGCTCGACTACAGAAATGCTGTGGCTTCTGTTGAAGAAGAAGCTGATGAGGATGAGCAAACAGGCCTGCAACCATTTTTGGCAGCGTTGTCAGAGGCTGGCGTTGTTCACTATACTAGCGCCCCATCCGCTGCTTAAAGTTTGTGGCCTTTGGTGGCGATATAGATTACTATACACATAATTAGTTGTTTAGCGGTGTAAATGTGTTCTTTGTGCCTTTCTTAGTAGTTGTTTTTCTGTCCTTCCCTTTTTAAATGGACAGATTTTATCAGGAACCTAAGGACTATTGTCCTTGTGGTTGCTTTATTATATAAATGAATATTTCTAGTTCTGTTTGTAAACGTTTTGAATTTAAATTATATAAATGAATATTTCTATACTGGGATATATTTCTTAAATTTTGTAGTTCATTCAATGAATTTGACAATAAGGATCATAAGTTAATCGGGAGTTCCTCACTAATAAAATTTTCTGACAGCGTTTACAGAGGTTGGACTCCCTTAACTTCATTAATTTCCAATTCTATCTACCGTTTAGCATCAAACTAACTCTTGTACTGTTTATTGGGAGAGAAGAAGGTTAAGGACTGAAAAAAAAAAAAAAAGAAACTAGGACAAGGACTTTTTAAAGGGTACAAACCAAAACGAGAAGATTTAAAAATTAATAAAATGGTAAATAGTTCAACTATTTTCAATGCTTTGTAGCATGGCGTTGGCTTTCCTTTCCTTTCCATCTGTATGGAATCTGGATTCTCTGTATGGGGAAAGGTTGATCGGTTCTTTACTTGGGTTTGGAAGTTAATATTAAAAGTTAAAACGGAGAAAATGAATCTTGGTTGATCCAGTATTTCATGAGAATGGGTTTCTCCTCTAGATTGTATCTATGGATAGAACAAGTACTGTATGAACACATTGTGTAATTTATGAATGTAAGCTTTGGTGATTATAAAATGTCGACAATTCATTGTTGTACTATATATTATTCAAGTATGATCCCAATATCCTGAGAGTGACATGGTCATTTTAATTTTGTTTATCCAAAAAAACCATCTAATAACATGTTTCAAAAAATTAAAAAAAAAAAAATCAATCAACCATCATACAAAACAACATATATAGTCTTTGGCCTATTGGTTCAAGTACTACAGTATCCCTTTAAGGGTGAGATGTTGGATTTGAACATCAATAGCATTTTCATTGACGAGGGCATTACCATGACCATCTTCAACAAAAAGGACATTGATCAGATTCACATGCAATTAACTGTAGGGATTCATGGGTCTGTTACACCGGATGAGATGGAAAAGCCCGGAGGATTACGAGGAACTGATTCAGTATATAAAATTTTCTTTATAACATTTATTCTCCTCATATTCCTATGGAAACCGCTACGACCATACTGCAGCTAGATATTCATTTTTTATTTTGATTAAAATTCAATAGAAAATTTTTAATTGGATCTGATAATTTAAAATATGATATAATAATACGTTATGAAAATGATTAAATAAAAAAATGAAAATAACACAGTTTAAAATTAAAAAAATAAATCATAAATTAATTTAATAAAATAAAAAAATTATATTTTATATTTTTGTATCAATATAAATTATGATATATAATTTTTATATAAAATATGATACAAATATAATATTTTACATGATACAATAATACAACTTACTATATCTATTTTTAATGCCTAATATTTCTCCACTTAATTTTTCTCATTCTAATGATACTAGAAAAGTAAACCCCATATTATAAAAATTCTTTTTGATAATTGTAAAATGAATTCAAGACTTTTTTTTTTTTCTCCTCTAGAAAACAGATTATTAAAACTGGAAACCATTCAAAAAATTTCAGAACCATATTGACTTTCATTTATTTATTGCAACCTCAAATTGCTGTAACATATATATCACATGGATTATAATGATGACCCAAGCTATTTGAATCCTTATATCTTTGACTGATTTGAACAGTAACATTATCTTTTGAATTTGGAGACAGTAAAATTTTCCTTGCTTGTCGGAACAAACTATCCATGAAAACTTTTCCTTGCAAGAAAATTAAGCGCTGGAGTAATTATATCGTTCAAATGAATGCATAATTATTCCAAATTAAGATTTGACTATGAAAGGAAACCAAGACTGCGCTAGCTGAGATTTTGATTAAGTGACATTGATTGGTAATAATTAAAAATGGTAACACAATATTTTCTTTTTGACTTTTCTGAATCTTTATTCAGTTTCTTAACAAAATTTCAACCTTATCAAACTTTCAAGGAATTCTTGCATTCGGTACAGAAGATTTACACTGTAAAAATGAATAATTTTCATATTATAATTTTATTTAACAACTAATAATTCATAAAAAAATTTCACTTTCACTTTCGCTTAATAAATAAGTATATATAATTATATTCGTGTGTGTATATATATATATATTTATTTATCTTATAGTTTTTTTCAGTATTTTTATTCTTATGCTGAATCTCATTAATTTAGTCCAATTGACTTTAGGATACATGTAACATATTTTATTTTGTTACTTATATTGATATATTCAGAGAAATGCAAATTAGACCTTTTAAAGTATTCTTTAATCTCTCTAATTTGGCACCTCAAAAACGAAAATGGCCTCTGGTAACCATGTTTTCTCTGCTGCTATTCTCCTGGTAGCATTTATTTCATGTGTCATTCCTATGGTATCATTCAAGACGTCCTGGCCACTGTTTGCTCCCAAACTCAGAATCAGGAAACCTGCGAGAAAATATTAGAAAGTGATCCACGCACGAAATCAGCAGACCTGCCTTTACTCTCAGTAATATCACTGGAGCTAGCTATGAAACAATTTAGTAAAACTTACAATACTTTCTTGGGATTTCGTATAAATTCTACTGACCCTAGTTTGAGAAGTAGTTTTGGCAAATGTGTGGAACTTTACCAGGACATGAAACACAAGCTCCAAGCTGACCACTAGTTGTCACTGCAGAAGCAATTCAAGAAGATCAATGACCTGGGTCAATTGACAACATTGGCTTACAATTGTGAAAACGGGCTCCCTGCAGACTCACCAACTGCTAGCATCACTGAAGATACGCTTCTAACAATCCAGTCTGCAACTTATGTCAATGAATTTGTTTTTCACTCAGCTTAGCAGGTTCTTTCTTTTAGGCCTTTAATTCAATTTGTGTAGACACAGCATACACTATCTGCGTTTTCACTTCTTATATAGAAATCTGTCCAGTTCCGGAGAATTTTGAAGAAACTTTCGAAAATATGATATACGTGAATAATGTTCCCATCATAAACAACTTATTGTGGTGGCTCTTCCTTTCTTTAACTTCATGGCATCAACAACTTATATCATTATTAAAAATAAATTAAAACAGTTTGGCGTGGATTACATATGAATGGTTGAACTTGGTTTGTTGATGTTCTGTGAACAAGTATATTTAAAATTTCCTTCACCTCTAACTCTTCCTCTTTGCTTTTCTCTTGATATTACCCCCCCCCCCCTCTTTTTCTTTCTTTCTTTCTTTAATGGTTGGTAAGAAAATTTAAACATGGGGAAATTAAAAAACTTATAACTATAAATCTGCTAATTTACAATTTAATTGCAATGGGAAGCTTGTTGTTCTCAAAATGATTGTGTTCAAAAAAGTTACAGTCAGTACTTTATTCTTGGACCAATCAATTGATATGGTCCACATCATCTAAACTATACGTTAAATATTCCAAAAAATTCGTGAAGCAGATGGAGAGAAAAAACCTAGAAACATTAATTTAATGAAAGCCATGTTACACAGGTGGCTTGTCAACAACTTGCTTATTTATTAATAACTATGATTAGAAATTTTATAAAAATAAAAACCAAAAACAAATCAAAATGACAGATGATGGTCCTTCCTTCATCTTTATGCTAGCTGATCAAGATTGTTTTTTCATCTTTACAACAAGGGTAGGAAACGAGTATTTCTAGGAGTGGTATACTTTTTGGGGTCACAAATTCTTTATATGATAAATAGAGTTTGGCGTATTCCAGGAATGCAACTTGATTTCAGGTGCGTGGGGTACATTATTGTGGTAAGGATAGAGAAGGTCTTGATTTATCATCGGATAGAACTCAATAGTGATCGTAGGACCAAAAAGGTTCCATTATTGTTCAAACAAAACTAAGCGAAGTCAGGAACTTTATTATTCCAGATGATTCAGGAGGGATTGGATTGCATGAAAAACATTCTTGTGGGAAACCACGGAGACATGTGAAATCCAGTTCCAGCTTCTTATCTTCTGGAATGCAAAGTCAATCCATTTATCAATATAAGCTAAAGCGTATCCATAACTGGTCTATGCTTGAAGCTTGATGTAATGTAGGTCTAGACGCCTTTCCTTCTTCAGCCTGTACATAGCTTCTTTTTTTTTTTTTTCTCCAACAGGATATTCGAAATTAACTTTGTAGCATCTATGTTAAAACTACCAGTTGAAAAGTGCCAAAGATGTTGCCATCTCCGAGAAAGAACACTGAACATCACCCGACAATGCACTAATATCCTATTATTAAAATCTCCATCACCTTGTCTGAGAGACTGATTTTTCAAATAAAAGTACATGCCAGCACAAGTAAAATAAGAAAATAAAATTTAGAAACATCATGATTCATGGGACTTTAATAGCATAAAACTTAGAGTTTGGGGAGGCTTGAATTCACCGTGTTTGGTGGGCTTGCACAGGTGAGCTGCAAAATTGGCAAAAACGACAATTAAAATCAAGATCATGATTTAGAATAAGAAAACTGCAAACTCTGTTTCCTTACAACTTCTCCTCTGTTGTTGATGAGGAAAAGAAACCGGAAACGGACGAATTTACGTGCACAAAAAGCACAGATGACACTATTCCATTTGGTTGGGCCACAACTCAGAACGAATTTTTACCCTTTGCGAAAGGCCAATGGGCCGAGAAAGGTCGTCATGAAGCAAGGACACCTGCACTGCACCCTCCACCCACTGGTCCATTAGATAAAACAAAACTACTCAGTCATAGAGGCCTGTTCTGTCCTGGGTACTACCAAGACGTCTGCTATCATCAACTATTTGACAAATATTAACCAACGTTTGTCTAATTATTTTTTTCTTAATTTGATTTTCGATGAAATTTGGTGATTAAAAAACTTGTAAATGCAATTTGTTTATTGCATATCATAGTCACTTGCATGGACGAATGAATTAAAGCCATCTTAAAATTAAGATATTCATGAGTTTGAAGGTGGATTTAATCGACCTTTGAGCTTGACTCATTTATTATTAAATCAAGTTAAATTTAAACATTTTAATATCTGATTCAAGACGTTCATAAGCTAAATCAAATTTTAAATTTTTTAATTGTTAAATTAGATCATGATTTTTTTATTGAACCTTAAAATTTCAAATCAATTTGACATCGAATAAGAGTGAATTTCGAATTAAATCAAGCTCGATAGATTTATCCACTAAATTCCTTTTATATCTAAAGGCATTGAATTTTATTTCATTTGATATAATCATAATACCAAAAACAATTAGATGAAAACCCGATTCTTGAAACTTGAATTCAAGAAATTTTGAAGCAAATGAATTTTCTGGATAATAACTTTGTTTTAATTAGGCGTTACTTTTAAGTTGTTGAATAAAGGATAATCACCACTATCCAAAGGAAAATTTCCCATACTCGGATCCCCAGTTAAACAAATGAAAAGGCGGATCAGAGAAAGTGATGTATGTGAGCACATAAAATGAAATTACCTCGTCAAAATAAATTAAAAAGGTTCCCTCTTCCTACTCCGTCAACTCAAAGCTTTCTAACGCTAACAAGAATCAACCAATGATCATCCATTGAAAAGTACCGCTGTACGGGGAACATAGACACGTCAACAATGAATTTTTGAACTCTTTGAACAAAGATTACTTGAAAACACTCTACAAGGCAGGCAAAATGCCTACATCTAGTTCACTAAAAATATCGATCTTTACTTGTAGAAGTCACAAGGAAAAGAAAAAAATACAATAACATAAAATAAAATAGCCTCCACGATTGCTGCGTGAGATGTCACTGAAAGTTCGACCCATGGAAAAATAAAAAGAAAGCAATAAATTAGAACAGAACAATATCCACAATGGATGCACATGTCAGTCTGAACCTACCTTGTTAGCTATGTTGTTGGAGAGCCAGTCCAGTCCTTCGTACAGCCCTTCACCGGAGGTGGCACATGTACTTTGGATATACCTGTGAGAGGCACAAGAATGACCACATTCTATCAGAAAATATTTTGAGTACAAAACACATAAATGTCCTAATCATTTGTAGATAAACAAACTGGGGAGAAATTAATAATAAACTACCAATGGCGCTGACGGAGGGAGTGAAGACCAAGCTTATCAGTTATCTCAGCAGCATTCATAGCATTTGGTAGATCTTGCTTGTTTGCAAATACAAGCAGCACAGCATCCCTCAGCTCATCCTACGCATATGAGAAGCAACAAAATGATTGAAAAGGTAATTACATGTGTATAATCAGCTAACGTAGACCACAGCCCTAACAATTCTCTACCCTTCTCTCATTACTTAAAATTCAATACATTAAAGAAAATGCAACCAACAATGGCAGTGCCCAACACAAATTAGGGGTGACTAAAGTTATATATGGTAATCAAAAGTGGACAAAGTTGGAAACTATCCAAATTTCAAACAACATGCTGCCTAATACCAAATACCATTCAGCAACATGCCATAAAGGAAAATGGTACCTCATTTAACATCCGGTGAAGCTCATCCCTGGCCTCAACCACACGGTCACGATCATTGCTATCAACAACAAAGATTAGCCCCTGGGTATTTTGGAAATAGTGCCTCCATAAAGGTCGAATCTGAAAGTGCCCATAAAAAATATCAAAACATGACATGTGATCAAACTCAAGATATTTAACCCTTAATTTGAGTAAAGGTAAAGGCAAGTACTAAAAAAAGCAACCAACAATTCATACAAAACATCACCATTACTTTATTAAAAAGAAGACACAATGTTGATTGCACTTATAAATTAAAAAAATACAACAAAAACCAAAGCCAGATTTGACTTGGCATTGCATCACCATTGGCACCATTCAGCACAACTATCAGCACCAGGTTCCACATATCAGGAAATTGAAAAGAAAAGCAATTTCCTAAACACTGTTGTAACTGCTTACAAGTTAAAAATGATTACAGATAATTAATATACATACAAACAAGTACATAAATGTTGTGTCATCTTTGCCACAATGCAGATAGCCTTCCTCCAATAGCCTAAGGAAAAAAACTCAAAGCATTAAGCTACTATGCTCTATAAATCAAGATATCATAAGGTTGTGTTATGTGCTGATATAGCACACAACAGACCACTAACCAAGATTGCTAGGAAAAGATACATACATAAATAAGCATGTGATGTTAAATAAGCATGTGATGTTTGCCACAGATCGAACAGCCTTCCTCATTTAGTGAAGAGGAAAATTGAAACATAAGGTGGCAGCAGTAAATGTAGCTTATAAATATGTTATGTGCTGACGGATAACAATCTAATCAGCACAGGACCGTCCATAAGCACACTTAATAGCAAGGAAAATTAAATACAGCAAGAGGAAAACTTATGTGTCAGCCACAAAGCAGATAGCTTCTCCTTATACAACCAAAGGAAAAACTTGAAAGACAAGGTGGCATTAGTAGATGCAGCTTATGATTATGTTATACGCTGATGATGGCATATGTCATCAGCATAAGACCGTCCATAAGCACATTCGACAGTTGTAACTTGTAACAGCAACTGCTATTGTACAATTGAATAACATGGCAAATTATAACGTTCCTATCAAGCAGTAAGGGCCAGGAAAACAATATAATAGTAAATTCCTGAATATTATGGTTTGTTCCACAAATTTGAGTTCCTGTTGTATTACCTTGTCCTGACCACCAACATCCCAAACAGTGAAGCTAATGTTCTTATATTCCACAGTCTCCACATTAAACCCTGCGTGAGGTAGCAACATGCATCACTATTAATGGTCGAATTATTAAAATATTACAAAAAAAAATATAATAATAATAATAACAAAGAAAGGGGCACACCGATAGTGGGAATGGTAGTGACAATCTCTCCGAGCTTGAGCTTGTACAAGATGGTAGTCTTACCAGCAGCATCAAGACCCACCATAAGAATTCGCATCTCTTTTTTAGCAAACAGCCGACTGAACATCTTAGCAAAAGACAGCCCCATCCTTTTATCTTGGCTGACCCAAAAAACAAGATACGGTCAATCCCAATTTATTCATCCAATTAATACTATGGAAAAAGGAACAAAAACCATTTGACTTATATATAGCCACATATAATACAAGAAAGCTCCCATTTATAGATAGATGTATGCCACTGCCCAAAATGGAAGAGATAAATAACATTAGGAAGAATTTCTTTTAAAGCAATAGCAATCTAAACAACCAGATCTAAATCAGCTACAATATCATATTTCGAATGAAATGAATGAGCACATCAATGAAGGGAAAAATAAGCCAAATCAAACACAAGAAGAGGATATTGCAGAAAACAATATATATCTTCAATATATATTGTAGAAAGCTGATACTTGTAGTATATTTCATAGAAATGAAGATCCAACTGGAAAAATAAGCAGATCTAATAAAATCCAGATCCAGATGTAGATGTAGAATCAAATAGTGGAAGACCCATCAGCCCAAAGCAACGCAAAAGACTGTAATATATACACAGAAATGTAAACACAAGCATAGAAAATCACAAGTCAGAAAAAAGAGATTAGAGATGAGAAAATAACATGCAGAAGCAGAAGGCAATAGAGAGAGAGATTTGGACTGTACACGGCGAGATATCGAACAAGTAACAAGGAAGAGAAAGAAGGTTAAAACTTACATCTAATCAAGATCAACTCAAAGATGGACAATGGTATTTAAAAGGAGCGGAGATTTTGGGTTTTGTTTCCTTAACGTTGCGAGCCTTAGATTGTAACGCTGTCGTTTGTCTTGTGCAAATTGTCTTGTGTTGGAGATTAACTATCATATACAGTATTAACTTAGGATTCAGGTAAATTGGGACATTTTTTTAAAGCATTAATAAAAATTGATAATGTTGGATATGGCACATTTAGTTTGTGTTTATGTATTGCTCAACAATTATTTATTTGTTATGAAATTAATAATTTTTGGAAGCTAGCTCAAGTAATTCTTCTATTTGGAATGCCAAATAATAACATTAGAATTTCTTTTCTTTTAATGAAGTTGAACATTAATAACCATTTGAATTTTGAAAATTTTGAAAGAAGTGACGCATCATCACATTCTTCTCTCAGAATACATCATCACTAACAAACTGCATCCAAAACCAAAAGGCATACATTCATTACTACTATGACAATTCCACCCAGGCACCCACAACCACAACCATTCTTCTTAAGCAATGCTTTCCTTTCTCATGTGGATGCAACTGCAGTTCCAAGTCATGCTTTCTTAATGGTGCTTGATCACCTCTCTCTAAATCCTTGCTTTTCATCTCTTTAATCTCCCTATCCTTTCCCCACAGAACGCCATTGAGTCCACCAACAATCAGATCTGACCCTACAACTCTGATCAATCATCCTTACAATTATTAATCATTTACATTTTACAAAATTAAACTGGAAACATAAACAATTACTTAGCGGAATGGTACATAATTGCATTGGTTTACGCACGTTCCAACATATAACTTCTCACGAAGCAGGGCCCAGATTCCAACAGCTACAATAACAAGCAACAAGGGGCCGAACACTGACACATAGAGAGGACCCTTTTTTTGGATACTCCAGGACAGGAGGCAATGTTACTGCATTACGCACAATTCCCAGAAATATTCAAACATAATTTGTTTAATTTTACTCATCAATCAAAATCTACTAACTTCTTAACCAAGTGAACCATGCATGCATGCACGCTTATGCTTACCGCATACAGACCGGCAATAAGCCTCACACTGGAGCTCAATGACCAAGCAGATATTTTGTGATAGGAAAAGATGCCTATGACTGTACATTCAATGCTGATGATGAAGCACATTAGAGCTGTGCATGTGTAGGAAGCTGCAAAGTTCTTGCTTGTTTGTCCCTGAAATTTTTGAGCGAATTATATGTATGCAAATTAAAATATGGACTTTGTATGAACTTTCAAAAAGTTGCTCTTCAACATTTTTTTTTTCAATAAGAGGAACAAGTATGCATTATATGGATTAACCATACCGCCCAAGCAACAGCACTGGCCATTACTAGAAAGGGACCCAGGAAGAAGTTTGATCATTGTTGGAGCTTTTACTTGTCATATCATCAGCATATTTCCAGTGAATGCTGGATTCACCTATGCCAACGGTATGTCCATGGTAACATCATTGCAACATGGCTCCACCAACACATACTAAAGTACCTAATACCTTAGCGTGCCCAGATGCCTTCTTTATTCCCACAGCTTCTTGCCTAGTAATTAATTAAAGTCATCTATTATCAGGGGGAAAAAAAAAACTGAAGTCTAGCTAATGCTTGGTGGTCCCCGGTGACTATATCCAGTAATTGATGAATATTTGAAGACTTGGATTACTGAAGAAATGACTCCGGTATCTGTAAAGAGCTGTGAGAACAAATGTGGCTGCTGGGAGTACATTGTTCAATGCGCATGCAAACTGTTGCAGTAGAATTTTCCAGCCCTACAAAATGAAAAACCTCGTTTGCTGTTGCTGTGCATATATTCATGTTTACTTTGAAGTTGGCCATTAAGTTACAGCAGTTTTCATAATAAGGAAGAAAAGGAACAATAAATGTCCTAATGAAATGCAAAAGGCCACCTTAACTAAAGATACAAAGTAGGATGCGCATGCTTGAGCTTTCTAACAACTTTTGAAGTGAAAAGAACATGAACAAAAGACTTACTCTGTCAGTGAGCATAAGAAAATCTTGAAAAGAATACGCTTAGTGATCTTGGGTCTTGTTTTCCTGCATAAAAAAGAGTGACAAATTAAGGTTTCTATAACAAGTATGAAAATTAAACCTACAAATTAACATAAATATATGTATAAGTAGCCTGGAACTATATATATATATATATAATCAGCCTGGAACTAGGGAAGAAAAGCAGGAAAAAATTAAAATGTATATATGATATGAATACATGGCAACCATACATATATAACTGATGTTATTAATCAGTGTAAACCTTTTTCCTCAAAAGCTCTCAATTAATGTCACTTCAGATGACAATTGCTGGAAAATTGCATTAACGAAAAGCCAATAGACCAAATGACTTGGCAGCCATGCATGGAGTTAAACTTACTTTTTCGAAGAAGTTGCAAATCAAATACATCTCCTTTCAGCCGTTCGATTAACAGAGCGCTCTGTGTGACTTAAACTACGGCTTCATGTACAGAGGCTTTTGTTTTTTTTTTCCAGAACAGTTATAGTATTATATATTGTATATAAGTTGTAAATAGTACAACATATCCTTTATTCTTTCCTTGCTGTTTCTTAGAAAACAAACACGAACTGTACTGCCTGTAATGGTGTCCTATTCCATTTCATTAAAGGCACTTCAAGAAAGCTTAATCTAATTAACTAACATTAAAAAAAGAAAACGGAACCTTTCTGCATCCATTTATTATAAACAGATAAAAGCATCAGTGCTATTCCTAGACATCCACTTGAAATTCTGACTTAGACCCAAAAAAAATTGTAAGGAAAAAAAAAAAGTAGATTGACTAATGCTGATGTGAAAAGTTCAAAGCCCATTAATTGGGTGCACCCCTACTTGACAGTTTTCTTAACAAGCAGAATAACATATATATTACGCATTATAATTCAGAAACAATAAATGAAATGGCCAAAAGATGTGGTAAGTGGTAACTTAATGAAATAGGTTCTTGATGAACAAATTAATCACTTCCGCTCCAAGAAATAGGCAAATGGGTGATGGCAATGGTGGCAAAGATTCGCCGGTATGCAACAAGAACAAAAGTTTTCATTCCAGATTCATGGCCAGCTTTAATGTGATGTTCATGCCTGCATAGCCTAGTTGCACAAGAGCATTGGCCAAGAATGGCATGAAATCACCCAACATTGTTTCTTTAATTCTCTAGAGCCGATATTGCCACTAGTTAGCTCCCCAGAGAGTTACAGAAAGCTTTGGAAAGACAGAAAAGAAAATACTTATAATCTGAAATGGAGAAATGGAAAGCTCCCTCTATATACATGGAGGGCAAGAGTTTCAACAGAAAGCGAAAGAAAATCCCTGCATGAAAGCAGAGAAACTATTCAGGATTTCTTGCAACACCTGGGCTCTGCATGGGACAAATGGTTGTTACCACTTGAAAATAAAGTTGCTTTCAGTTTTGTTTTATCTTGGGCTTGTTAGCTGTGGCTATATGTTCAAAGAAACTTAAAGCAAGAAAATTGCCTTATGCCCCGTCAGCTACAACCACAACTGGGACCTACTTCCCTTTTGCGGGTTGTAGCCCTGTGGTTGTTACAACTCATCAATCTGCAAGGCTTCCAACCATGCCAGAAGAAAAAAAAACGCTTCCCAAAGTCAATTTCTTGAAGAAGGATCTGCAGTAAATGATGTCCGCTAACCAAAAATGTGTGGATTCCAGTGGCCATTAATTAAACATCATATCTAATTGAAGGGAAGCAATATTTTGAGGGGTTGGGGATATCTTGAATGTAATAATCTCCTTAAAAAAATGTTAGTTGTAAACCTATTTGATCTTTAGTTCGAAGTTCGGACTCCTTCCCCATACAGTGCAATGAATAAAGTAAAAAAGAGATGTAATGAACATACAGTGTGTTCATAAAAGCACATGTGGACTAATAATAGTATTTACTTTTGAAACCCGGTTTACCTGCACATTACGGATGTATGTCCGACTCCACAATCGTTCAAAAACTAGATTTGGAAACCTTAATACTGTGAGGTTTTCAATAAGGTTCCTCCCAAGGCGATGATCTATCCTGTAATAAGATTGATTTAAATTGTAAAGTAATGAATATGTATAAATTCTATGATAATGGATGGAACAGTTTGTTAATACAAAAGGATAAACAACATGCATATGCACCTGTAAATTTGCTTCGCCTCAAACTTAGAAATAAGGGATTTTTTAACCCATTGAGAAGAAAACGCATCAAATCCAAAAGGTTTCTCAATTATTATACGATTCCAACTCTTCTTTGTTTTGGCATTATCAGCAATTGAGAAAGCAACGTCCAGAAATGCTTCTTGTGGAACAGAAAGATAGAATATCCTGTTTGCTCGATATCTCCCCTGAAGTAGGTAAGATGTTAAAGAATCAATTATCAAAATTCCAAAGCATCCAGTTTGAAGATTGGAAGGTAAAACAAAATGCATGAGTTGAAAACTTAGAGTTTTTTAACTTTGCTTACCTCAATCTGTTCCATTCGAGCATTCAGCTTAGACATCCCTTATTTGTTGTCATAACTGTTGGAGATTACTATAGCTCTAATACCACTTGTTAGGCTAAAAAGCCCTAATCTACGTCCACACGGATGAGAAACAAAATCTAGTAATTGTAGAGAATTACAAACATACAATAAAACATGGCAACCACTCAACAATCAATACCTATAGACCCTTTCAATCTCCTCTAGTCTTATGGAGTATTTTCAATCCCAAACAAACACATACTCATATGTATCCTTTCAACACAACCAAACACATACCCTTATGCACCCATACATCATACCTATGTGGACCCTCTCAGTCTCCTCTAGTCCACTCACAAACAAACATACACAGCCATAAGATGTAAATCTTCAATAGTCTTATGGGGTGTCTATCCCACAAAACCCTACAACTCTCTTATATCTTTTTCTCATACCTAATCCTATAGAGAGTTCACATATTTATAACCATACAAACTTGCCTATTAAAAATCCTTTTTCCTTTTAGAATTCTTCTTCTGCAAGTCGTCTTGTCCATCAAGCAATATTTAACAAATCCCAAACAAATCTCTTATGGGATTTGAGTCATTATTCCTAACAATCTCCACCTTGACTCAAATTCCATCAATTATTTGTTTTCATGCTATACATGCTTGGCTCCACCTCTTCGCACATCTCGAACCATGCTCTTCTCATGTCTTGAACCTTCAACTATTTCCACATCTCGAACCTTCGGTTCTGATACCACTTGTTGGGGACCACCATTAGGGACGACAATCCAACCCATCCCCGACGGGTTTCGATCCGACCCTATGAGGTCAATTTTTTTTTTAAAATTCATGTTTCGGGTCGGGTCAGGTAAGATTAAAAAACAATAAGGGTCAGGTCGAGTTTGGGTTTTAGGCAAACCCGACTCGAACCGATATTATATAAAAAATTATTTTTTAATTTTTATTTATATATATTTATATAATGATATTTTTAAACATTTATATTTAAAAAATAATATTTTATATTTTAAAAAATAATATTTTATTAATTTCGGATCGGATCGGGTCGGGTCAGGTACGATTTATATAATATCGAGTCAGGGTCGAGTATGAAAAAACAAAAAAAAATTTTGGGTAGGATCGGGTTCGGGTTTATTAAAGCATTAAGTCAGGTCAGGTTCGGGGCGAGCAAAACCCGTCCCGAACCTAATCCGATGCCAACTCGATTCATCATAGCTCTGATACCACTTGTCAGGCTAAAAAGCCTAATCTACGTTCACGAATGAAAAATAAGATCCACTCGTTATAGAGAATTACAAACATACAATAAAATATATCAACCACTCAACAATCAATACCCATAGACCTTCTTAATTTCTTCTAATCCGATGGAGTATTCTCAACCCAAACAAATACATACACATATGTATCCTTTCAACATAACCAAACATATACCCATATACACCCATACATCATACTTATGTGGACTCTCTGAGTGTCCTCTAGTTCACTCACAAACAAACATATACACCCATAAGACGTAAATCTTTAGTAGTCTTATGGGATGTTTACCCCACAAAATCCTGTAACTTTCTTATATCTTTTTCTCATATCTAACCTTATAGAGACTTCACCTATTTATAACCATACAAACTTGCCTATTAAAAATCTCTTTCCTTTTAGAATTCTTCTTCTACAAGTCTTCTTATCTATCAAATAATATTTAACAAATCTCAAACAAATCTCTTATGAGATTTGAGTCATTATTCCTAATAATAACCTCCATTAAAGTAGAATATTCTACTAAGAAACGCATCTATCTTGTCCCTACAATTTTGCCTGGGGTAGGGAATTACAAGAAAATGATAAGAAAAAATAAAAGGACCACTAAATTGTTGATAATTAATGTAGTATCTAAACACCTTTCATACATAGCTAACTACAGCATGAATGCAATTATGATTTTCTAAACTCTAACAGTCAATTTCACTTGAAAAATTTCTTAACAAGAAATTAGTTTGTAGAAATCCAAAACAGATTTGCAGGTGTGCACAGTTAATTAGTACTGCCATCTCTAAACATAAGCAACAAGTTCTTATTAATATCATTCCACTAAATATGTGTTGCTTATCATTAAGTAAGTTGCCAACGAAATATAAGGATTAGGCAATTGCCTGATCCATCAAAAAAGAATGAATAAATAAACAAAAACTAATAAGTTGATGAAACTTCTTCATTCCTATTAGTTAACAAAGAGTATATCTTCTTCCATCTCTTGAACCTTCTCCTATCACCTTTTGAAACCATTCCAATCTGGAATAAACTACATAATGGAGCTCTAAAAGCAAATTCCATTTGAAAATTATGGAATCTTTATAATACAAAGATTAAGAATTGTAGACAAAGATTTCACAGAGGGGACATATCGTAATATGAATGAGGACCGTGTTGATGATCAATGTGGCAAGTTAAAGTTGAAGCAATGAGGGATCTTAAGTCTTTATTTGTCAAATTCTTTCTGGAATTACCAAAGATACCAACATTCTGCAGTCATGTAAATGATATATTGAAGGATGAGAAACACTTATCACATTTTGCAACATCAAATATTGTTAATGCATGTGAGAGAAATAAAGTAATTCATTGTATTGATGTATCTTTTCCATTTAATACAAAGAGAACTTTTGTTTTGGTGGACTCTAAAATCCATTCAAAGAGCCTAATGATGTGAAAAAAATAAAATCCATAAGAAATGAATGGCCAATTTGATAATAGAAAACCAAACTCTTTATACATTAGAGTAGCACTACCTCAGGAAGAAAACCACTGTAATATAGAGCAAATAATGTTGGAAAAATCTTATTCCGAGGTAGTTTAACAGTAATGCATAAGAGGATCCTCTATGTTGATCATCAACATAAATTTTATAATAATATCAATTAAATGATGTTTTTTATATGATTTATACTAGATATATGATTAACTGTTCATCACATAAAAAAATTATTCTATTTTAATTAAAAAAGATATTCAAATATTAAAAAAATATTCACTATTAATTTTAAAGTTTAATAAAAGATTTAAAACAAAGTTTATTTTCAAAATATAAGAATCTATACCTTTATATAAAAGTTATCCCCAAGTAGATTTTCTTAACAGTTCATAATAAGCCATTTTTTATTCAATCGTCGAGATTGAAGGTGAAGGGGTCAATTCAATGTAAAATGTAAAAGAAGCATTTAATTTAAATTGATGAATAAAAACTCGTTTAAATAGCAATTTGAAGGTTCAAAAAGAATCTTTATTATTTATCGTTTTATTTAATTATTTCAACAGAGATTTTATAGTTTGTGTTTTCCTAAAAGAGAACTCCTCTATTGTAACTAAACTAGTTGTAACTTCAATTCATAGATAGAATTCAACAAAAAAATGTTCTTTATCATTTTAATTTTTTAATGATTCATCTCTCATTCTTTTATATGATTTTTATGAATCTATAAAAAAAAATTTATCAATTGAATGAATAAATGAATAAAAAATATTATTTTTAGAGATCACAATTTCAGCACCACATTTAATGATTTTAAAAGATTTATATAATTTACATAATTTTTTATTAATCCTTGGGATTTTACATTTTCAAGATTCATCAAACCAACTAGATATTAGGTTGTACACGTTACGATATATAAAATATTTTTTAATTCCTGTCATAATTGTACCATACTTTAAAAAAGTATTTCAATGTCATAAAAGAAAATTTGAGGGCAAATTTAGGAAAGAAAAGAGAAAAAAAGCTTCTAGAGCTATTTTTTTTCTCGTACCTTACTTTTCTTTCTTTCTTTTCCTGTCTTTCTTTTTTCTCTCCCATTCACCAGTTGCTACCCCTCTTCTCTTCCTTCTTCATTTTTCCTTCTTTTCTCATTTCTTTTCCTCTTTTGCCATCCAAATATTTGCTTGATTAGCCCAGGCTTTCACCATTTGGCCAAAACTATCTTTTTTTATTTTATTTTTTGATAAGTTCCTCACAAATTATGAAGATTGTAATTTTTGCTTTTCTATGTGTGTTTTAGTTATGATTCTTGTGATAAGTTTTGCGTATGACAGAGAAAATATGATAGTATCGATTTTGGTGAAAATGGTGATTGTAATGTTTGTCTGATTATTTTTTATCTTTTTATTTGATGCGGATGAAGGTATGTTTTCAGTATAAATTTGGTTTGAGTTTGTGTTGTAAGTTACTTTTACTCTTATGTATGGATTTTTTTGCATGTGCTATCAACTAATATAATCTATTATCTTTCAAATAAAAAAGTAGACAAAAATCAAAATTGAATTGGATTTTTTGCAATAGCTTTATCTAAGATTGAATTTTTTGTAAATGGGTAATTTTTCTTTCCCATTTTTTCTTTCTTTGCATGTTTAGTGTATATATATATATATATATTTACTTTGCATGCAAATTTTTTTTGATTTATTAAATTACAAAAGTTTGTTGTATTTCTAATCTTTAAAAGTAGAAGAAAAAAATTTGTCCAAAACAAAGGAGTTTCGTGAGCAATACAAGAAAGATCACCTTAAAAATAAATTTTTTGCTGCTGTAAGTGTGAACAATGGTTTTTGTTATTTGTTAATAGGTTTTTTTCATTTTAATTTAATTTTTCTTTTTCTTTATCTCTTTTGTGCTTAAATTCTGTTTGGCAAAGCTAGTGAAGATAAATAGAAGATGATATTTGGATCGATAAACAAGTTGAAGAACACAAACATTTTATCAACAAGGTAATCTTTTCAATTTTTTTTTAACATTTATGTTTGTTTTGTGGATTTATCATTAAGAATATGGGATCTGTAATTATAATTTTGGATTTTTTTTCTTTTTTGGTATTTGATATTTAGATGGCGTAAGTCATATTATAGTTATAATAATTTTGCATTATTATCTTTTGTCAGTTTTATCACTATGAAATTGGTCTTATTCTTGAGAAATTTATCAAAATATAGTATTTAAAACTAATGAAGTTGATGCATTTTCATGTTTCAAGATTTTTTCTATTATGCAGACACAATCTTCTTGATTGAACTTTTACTGTATCCAAGGAATGAAAAGCTTTTTATGATTTCCCTCTCATTTTTTGAGTTAAGATTATATTGCATGGTTTCTTACATACATCTTAATTGGTGAATGAATCATTTTAACTTATTCATCCTTTTAGTTGCTACTGTAAAGGCCATTAGTATGGGCACTCATTTTATGGCTTTCTAGCTTGGTTTTAAAAACCAAGGACAACATTAATAATGTCTTTATACATATTTTACCTAGCATGTGTGCAATCCATATTTTCACTAGCTATCTTTATAAAGCATTTTAGATACAACAAGTTTGTTACTATTGTTATCGTTTTTTTTTTTTAAACGAATGAGGGGCGAGTTGGATTTCAAGGCTGTTTTCATTTTTGAATGTGTGCTTTCCTCATCATATGTGGAAGACAATGATAGCTAAGGTTTATTGCGCTATAAATTGCTAATAAATTATATAAACTTAACATGCTCATAAAAATAGCTTAAATTTTTCACCTAATTAATAGGTTCATTTTTTTCTTAATGACATGTTTTTATTTTATTGTATTCTCTGGATTCTCTTCCTCTATAGTACATATGAAAGTATATTCTAATTGTTTTTTGTTGTATTTACCCTACTAAATAGCAATTTTTTGGATTGATTGAATGTAGTGGAGTTGGATCACATGTTGGGCATCCATAGGGACATACTGCCAATGTGTTGTATCTGGTGGGATAAAAGTTTTTTAGATTGCTTGTTTGTCTATTAAGCAATTTGCAATTGAGGTTTTGTTGAAATCATTATATTTAGTTATGATTATTGTGCACTAATGTCATGATTCATTTTTTAAATTTATTAATTGATTTTATAATGTGGCACACAAATGGGAACTAATTTGAAGATCAAAACAACAAGGTTTAGCCTTTGGAATAGACATTACACCTAGATTACCAACATAAGAGGAGAAAAACAAATCAAAATGACAATTGAGAAATGGTTTGAAGTTGATTCAAGTGAAGCAAGGGTAACCTTTTAAAAATTTATTATTTTTTCTTACACATTGTTTGCATAAACATTTTTTATACAAACTATACATTTTATAATTCTAGAACATCAAGTTTAATTGTCTAGTAAGAATTCTTGAAATTAATGCTTCTCAAAGGTGGTTCTATGACTTATTCACTAAATGCAATAGAACTGTTATACTATGTGATGAAAAATTTTGATGCATTAACACCATGAAAAAGTCCCCAATCCCAAGTAAGAATTATTTCATCAAGATACCGTTGTGTTCTTACACATAGTTTCCTTTTACATCTCTTATAAATATTTTTTTATAGAGGCAACTGCCAATAACAATTGATGATCATACGAGAATTATGCAGTTCATGTTTTTTGAAAGTCTTGACAAGAGATTGGTGAAAGGATCAATGATGATTGTCATTGACCTAGCACTAAAAAATCCTATAATCATCCTAAACCATTGAATGAACTCGAAAATAAAGAATAAAAAATGAGAGTTTTTCAAATTTCAATGACAAAACAAGCCTTAAAGAAAGACGAAATATGTTACACAATTCATATGACCTATCAATCAGAGAAAACCTTCCCTGTTGATGTTAGCTTCCTGATTTACCTATATAGCCTGCCTTGTAGATTTATTCTCTAAAGAATCTTCAGTAAAAAAACCAAGAACAAAATACACCACTATTCAACAAATAATTACATATGAATAACATTTTACAAAAAATAAAATCTAACTGATACGATACATTATTTTTGTTTGTTATAACAAAAATGAGAAAGAACCAACGCTCAACTATCACATGGATAACAAGTAAAGAAAAAATGTGCCTAATATACAAAAGACTTTAGATTGCATTTGATCAATAATTTTTACCATTTATTGCACTTTCTATCTGTTCATTTATTATCCCTGCATTTCACTACATTTGTTCAGTACATCAAACTCAATAAGTTATATAATTACTTTGTTGTTGCATGGTGGAAGAAATCAAAATGAAATGTTATGAAATTCTGTATTGGCATAAGAAAATAACAGAATTCCCTTTTAGTAGGTGGTGCAGTAACCTTGATTATGAAACTTATTATTATAGTATAGCAAAGATGAAAGGCATTGATGGTCTTATCAGTTACTAAAACAATAAAATGATTTGATTCCGACATGATAAACCAACTTTCACAAACTCAAATTGTGATATAAAAGAAAAGTTGTTAAAATGATAAGAGTTATAATGACAGTTAATGAAGATGCAATAAGGAAATAATAAATGCAAGGGCTAAATGATAAATAGTTAATGAGGTAGTTTAAGTTGTCGTTATAAGAGAAAAGACATGAAAGAGATGAAAACTTGTTGATATTTCTCAATGTGCACTATGCGACTAAAAAAAGTTGGTATAAGGAATAGGATTGCAAATAATTCTGTTTGACATATGCTAGTTTGACAGCAATTGCTGATGGCTTTTCTAAACTAGAAAAGTTGAGTTTAATTTGGTGTTCAACTGTTACAAGTTTGGGAATAATGTCCATTGCACATAAATGCTCTTTTTTGAAATCTTTAGATTTGTGGGTAATTTATTGTTTTCAAACAGAGACTATAGTGATATTTTACACTCTGATGCAGTTCAATTGGATTGTTTATGGCTTATTCCTTCGAGATATAATTCTTTCTAGTACCAAGTGATGTACATACACCGCACTCAAATGTCCCTCCTCAGTTTTTAGTGCTTGAATAGCCTCACCATATTTTACAAACTTTTTAAGTGATCATCTATCATAATTATGAATAATCTTTTTTATTATTATGATGTAAATTTTGACTTTAACTCTTATCATTTTAACAACTTTTCTTTTATATCCAAAAATTTTATTTTCATAGTTAAAACAAGACCACAGCATGGCGTGGCTTGTCGGCTAATATTTTTTTAAAGTTGTCTACAATGTTATATCTTATTAATTTTAAAATTCTTATATTTCATTAGTTAGCAACAATAATAATGTTGAACCAAAATTAATAGCAAAAAATATTTCAATATTTAAATAACATTAAAAGCTATTTGATTTAGGATAAAATATACCTTGTAAGTGTAATAGTGTTATTTGAACCCTTATTGTAACATATTTTTGTAAATTATGTATATTTAGTAGCTTTTGAAGAAATCAAGATTCGAGATTAAAAATAATTTTAGTAAATATCCATTGTAAATACATAAGTAAACTTCATTGATTATTAAATTTAGACAAATATCTTTTTGATTGCTTTACATCTTTTTTTTAGAACATGTTTATAAATTAATATTTCTTAATTAATAAAATTCGTGTAAGTATACATTTTTTACTGTAAAATGAACTTGCAAAATGATTTTTATCAAATAGATCGGTACATATTAAAATCAAAGTCAATGATGAAAAACAAAGCATTATATAATATAGTTATTTTATTTCAAACAGCAAGGCTTCAATGAGTTCAATAATGATTGAATCCCTCAGAATTCATAAAACTAAAGACAAAAATTCACACCAAAGAAGCTAAAAAAAAAAAGCATAAAGTAGGAAAAAATTTATAAAATTCAATTTGTTTGTGATAAAATAAAATTTTTTAGGATTGAAAAATTTTTAAATATATGTAAAAAATGAATGAAGATAAAGACTTAATACTAAAATACTAGAAAAAAAAACTTTTAAATACAAAAATCAAAATAAAAAAATTAAATATTTAAAATTTTTGTTATATTCTTTTTTTTTTATCTTCGATTATATATTTAAAGATTATATTATTTCTTATTGGAGCTTTACTTTAAATTTTATATTATATTTATTTACTTTTTGAATTTAAATTCACATTTTCTTTCCTTCAATTTAATTTAGTATTATAATGATTATTGTAATTTCATTACCATAAAAAAATACTAAAGTTATTTAATTATATTAATCTATATAATAATTAAACTTGATTAACAATTATGTGCATAGCACATATCATAAAAACTAGTGTGTGTGTATATATATATATATATGATTTCGCAGCCTCAAACATATTTTATATATATACATATTTATATATGATTTCCCGGCCTCAAACGTAAGTAGCATGTCCTCTTATAGAAACCAAACATAAGCCAAAGCCATGCACAGCAAAGTGGAAGCGAAACGACAAATCATTGGATAAAATAAAATACAAGAGACGAGACAGAAATATAAGTTCTGGTCTTTTCTTTTTCTTGTTATAGTTTACGAAGTAGTATGCTAGGCAGAATAGAATGTACAGAATCATGTTACTAAGAACGTAACTTAACTTAGTTCGATCCATGAATGATGACCATCAGCATCAAGATTCATGCATCAACCAATAAAAGGTTCATCACCTATTCTAATTATTATCACCTAATGTATATACAATTTTTCTTCTTCGAAAGTGACCCCTCCACTAGCTCCCTTGTCTTTGATAAACTAATAAGACATAAATAGATGTAGCAGTAGAAAAGAAAAAAAAGTGGGAATCTTTTTCATAAGTTAGGCCTACCTTTGTTTTTAAAAGGACTGGTGGTTGGATCGTAATATTTTCTCCTCTCTTGCATTTTTCGTCAACATTGCAGGTGAGCTAAACTTTACTTTTTCTGCGTCAATTTTTTCATATCACATGTTGTAACTCTGGCAGGTAGATTTCTGGGTTTTCTTTTCATGTCTTTTCATTTGGGTATTTGATCAATTTTCTTTCTTGGCTTTTAGGGTTTTAAGCATTGGGTTTATTTTGTTTCGATATTTGTTGGATTCTCAATTTTATACGTTAATTTGATTGGTCTTAGATCGGATTATCTGAGTTTAGATTGTTCATCGATGGTTTGAAAAGTGTATTCTGGTCTTTTGCTCTCCTAATTTTGATTTTTAACTTTGTTTCTCAGCTTGCTTTTATTCCTTTCTGCAGATAACTTGAATAGTCACTCTCTTCTCTTCTTTATCCTGTATCCATTTGCTATCAAGGCTTCAAAAAAATTTGGGTTTTTAAGCTTTTATGAAGTTACACATAGTTTTATGGAGTATTAGTCATCAGAATTTTAGTGTCTGAATATATCTCATTGTTAGGAAGGTCAGTTGATGAGTTCAATCTTGAAGCTAAAACTCGAGCTCTCATTGCCCTGTTACTATCTTTTGATAATTTTGAATTACAGCTTAAGCGTTATTGACAACTACATATGGTTTGCATACACGTTAGGGGAATGAAGTTCAAATTTGATAACCATGAAAATTCTCAATTTTGAAACTGGGAGGAGTTCCTGATTTCATGTTTCATCTAGCTCATAGGTTCCTGGTTGTGTTACTTAAGTTCACTGTTGCTTAATGCAGCTGCTTGGATAAGAATATCAGTTTCATCCGTTAACCCATTGTCACTATCATCCAACTAGTTATTGATGGGGTCCGAAGGGCCAACAGCAGTAACCATCCATGTGACTGGTTTTAAGAAATTTCATGGAGTTTCAGAGAATCCCACTGAAACAATTGTTGGTAATTTAAAAGAGTATACAAAAAAGAAAGGTTTGCCAAAAGCTGTTATTCTTGGCAGTTGTAGTGTTCTTGAGACTGCAGGACAAGGAGCACTCACACCACTATACCAGACATTACAATCTGCCTTAGTTGGGAAGGATTCTGAATCTTCAAGTTCTGGGAGAATTATTTGGGTTAGTTACTCTACTTCTACAGTGTAATAATTGCTTTTTTCATGCATGCATATCAACTTCATGGCTGCCTCGCTGGAGGGCAGAAAATGGATCCTGTTCATGGTGTCGAAATTCTCTTATTATAGCACACTAGCAGCAATAAATCATCAATAGTTTATCGAATAATTCCATTTAGCTTTGCATGAAGTGGGCAGAGGCATTTAGCTACCTGCTTTATGCATAAAAAAGGGTATTATTATTGTAATTATAACTCTCACATAGTACCCAGCCTCTCCTCTATTCTTATAAAAATGTCCATAGTGGAAAACCGTAAAATCTCAGGTCACAGTAAAAATGCATGTTATGGGATATTGGGTTCTATGATTAGTCAATCTGGTAAATCTGAGGTTGGCCCTTTTTTCCAGCCATCTTCTTTGCACTTCTTTGCTACCTTCAGTACACAAGCAAAGCACACTTGCAATACATGAGGCCAATTTTGATGCATTGTTTATAAATGATTTTGTCAACAAATGTTATCTTAATGATTTGTCTTTGGTGCAATCAAACTCATTGCCTTAGAAATACACACCTCGTGTTTCTTTCCCATTCTTACAATATTTCTTCAGCTACATTTTGGAGTTAATAGTGCTGCAAATAGATTTGCTATTGAGCATCAAGCCATGAATGAAGCTACTTTTCGTTGCCCTGATGAGATGGGATGGAAACCTCAGGTTAGATATATCCCTTTGCCCCTTTCATGGTGCATGTGCAATTTGTCACACCTCTTTCTTCTCCAACTTTCTTCCTTTTGTTAAAAGTTCTGTATTGTATGCAGAAAGAACCCATTATTCCTGCAGATGGTGGAATTTCACGTGTGCGAAAGGTACTATGGTTGTCTTTAAATTATAGCTGTTCTTGCTTGGCATGGTTAAAATTACATGTGATACTATATTCTTTCAGATCTTACCTCCATCCTTAAAAGAGTTTCCTCTGTTACCTCTGTGCAGACTTCTCTTCCTGTTGAGGAGATTACAAAGGCCTTAGTAAAGAAGGGACATGAGGTGATGACTTCCAATGATGCGGGACGGTTTGTGTGCAATTATGTTTACTATCACTCCCTTTGCTTTGCAGAGCAGAATGGGACCAAATCACTCTTTGTGCATGTCCCTCTCTTCTTGACTATAGATGAGGAGACCCAAATGAAATTTGCTGCTTCCTTGTTGGATGTACTCGCATCTCTATGTCAGTGACATACTGTATCCACTCATCTTTATATCCAGGAAAGAAATAATGCGGTTGTACTGTTGTTGGCCATGTATGAGGGTGGATGGAAGGATGCATGTTTACTGAAAGGCTTTAATAAACAGATAAGTATATGCAAACGAAAAAAAAATGTATATCAGCACATACATCTTATGTATTTTTTTTTTCTAAATATTTCTTCTGGTGCTTGAAAATTTCTCAGAATCTTCATGTTAATATGTGAATAAAATTCTAGTTTGCTGCGGTTACCAAAACATTTGTCTGGTAACATCAACTGTGAGTTTCTTGGTAGACGGACAATGTTCTCGTGTCTTTGATACGCTATCAAGTTGCAAGCCTGCTTAATTTAATGTACTTCTTGTTGGAGTTGCTTTTTTTTTTTTTTTTTTTTATTCAGATTAACAGTAGTCCTCTGTCTCAGAATGTAAGGGATGGGTTATGGGGTAGTTCCAGTTTTCGTGTGAATGGTATAGGTCCACCAATGTGCATGAAGCAGTCCGTTACGCTCAAAATAACAGAACAAGTTATAATGTTTTCTTTTGAGCTGTTTCTGCAAATTTGCATCATTCAATTATTTCCCATGTCAACATTCTGCATTATCTAATGAGTAAATTGACTTGATTATTAGAGTAATGTTGTTCAGTTTTTACACCAGGTCACTCTCATGCAATGCAACCCCACCTAAAGTTTTCTGTAGAGGGGGGAAGAATGATGGGTGTAATAAGCTCGTGCGCCAACCTTGCACCTTTGAATTTTGATTGATGCTATGAAGTAAATAACTACTCAATCCAACCATGATGGCATTGTCATGTACATGTAGTAGCCAAAGTATTATTTCAAACTTGAACTAATTAAGAAGGAAGCAGGCGCGATGTCATGGTCTGGCCCTGGTGTGCCTTAGTTTTGTCATGACTACCTTTAAGCTGAGCAACAGTCGAGGTCATGATGGTAGGATAGTGGTCCTAGAGCTATGTGCAAACATTTTAAGCACAAGAACATGTTGCTAATATTGTGTGTGGGCAGTGTGAGCCACAGGCTTCAAGATGCACGAGCAAGTGCAAGCTAGTGGGCTGGCACCTTGGAGCCAGTTAGCCAGTCAGGTGCTATCGATCGAAGCCATGTGCGGGTTAATGGAGCAACGAGTGGAATGCTGGAATTTTAGTGATCAAGAGGAAGGTCACTGGGCCCTGAGTTGGGTGAAGAAAGGCCTTGAGATGGCTTATGAGAAAAGTGTCCCTATTTCAGACATTCTTACTATTCTTGATAGAAGGCCTAAAAGCTCTTACACTCTTTATAGGGTGATGATTAGTGCCAACTCTTTACTTTTTCTTGGCTAGCAGGCAGGCACAAGCCTGGCTAGTCTGAAGTGAGCTACTCTTAAGTACATGTGGTGTCTAAGTGGGCAGGCATCATAGGGTCATGTGTGGCACGTTGTTTCCTCGGGTCATGGTAAACCCAGGGATAATTGGGGCTGACAAGCCTCATATCGCGTCTTCACGTTGAACCATGGGTTAGGCGGTAGCATTTACTATGCCTCTCAGTTTTTTTTTTTTTAGCCAAAAGGATCATGAAATGGTATTTGTGTAGGAGGGGCACCATCGAGCCTGAGGGATGAGTGGGCTAACAGGCAGGCACGTTGCTAGACCCTAGTGGCCAATCGGTAGAGAGGTGTTGTGGTTAGAATCGCACACTCAAGTCCCTGAGACGGGAAATACATGATGCTGAGTGTTCATACATACGAGTTGCTTAAAATGAGGCTAAGGGCTAAGGCCCTAAGAAGTAAGTTTCATGGGACAAGATGAGCTTAAAGGCTCTGGGCTTGCTGTTACTCAACATCTGTGTTGTGTCTGCGAGATCTTGGCATGAGAGCTTGCGTACAATGCGGGCGAGCATGGTGTTAGGTTCTCACCATGTCAGAAAGCAATAATATTATGAGGACTAGGGTTGTAGGCTTCTATGAGAATTCAAGCGTTGGTGCTAAGGACCTTGATCCCTACAGGTTAGATATGGGTGTTCGGGGCCATCTTAAGAATTGTGGTTTGATAAGTTGATGGGAGTTGGGTTCCTCCCTATCAAGGTGCGACCTTACGGGTTCAGAGCCAAAAAATGTTCATGAGCATGTGGCTTGAAAGATCGATATTAAGCTATCCATGGGAAACTGGACTCGAGAAATGTTGACCTTGACTATGAGTAGTCTTGGTACCGTACAAACGTGTGGTTTCGGTTTAAAGAATGCACGGCCCATGATATTTGGTATCAGAGCCTAGTTTAACTCAATAGTGGGATTAATGCAGCCTCAGGTATGAGCATGATAATGTGATATTAAGGTAGTGCTAAGCTAAAAAAGAACTATCGAGATGCTAATGCAGTTTTGTGGCTATGAAGGCTCGGGAATGAGCCAACGATGCATGCTATAGGATAAATTGGCCTGGGTGGAAAGATTTCGAGTAGGCTCTTGGATGTCAAGCAAAAGGGCACAAGAATCGAGCCTCACCTAGCGGAAGGTGTTGGTGCATGTGGGCATGTAATGCCTTTACAATGGGAAAACCATGATGAGATCGAAATGCAAAAAGGCCTTACACCATGAAATGGTGTCGAGTAAGGCCATGTGGTCGAAGCAAGTTTTGTCTTGAGGGACATAAGTCATGCGTAATGAGATCAATTATTAACGTGTGCATTTTTTGTGTGGTGCAAGTGCCCTAATAGGGTACAAGCCGAGTATTTAGGTCTAAAAGTGGAGCCATTCTATAGAGGTAGATAAGTTTGAGTTGGCTGAAGATTGAAGCCATGAGTTTGTGACAGTTGGTAGCCCATGAGTTTTTGGGGTCAGAGGATGGGGAGATTATGTTAGTTAGTGAACTATGTTTGGTGTTGGTCGAAAGAAATGGCCTTATGAAATGTGGTGGTTAGTAAATCACAACAGTGTGCAGTCTAGTAAAACGAGCAAGTGGGAATTGGCCAGTTAACAAGGCCTTGAGATGTATGAGTCAGAAGATCAATCGAGTTGAGTAAGTCGATGGTATTGCCATTTGAGTTACATCCTATCAGTGGGCTGGACGAGTTTAAGCAATGCAAAGGATAAGCCGATGGTGATTGAGCTGATTAGGATTTGAGTAGATGTTGGCCAATGAGATGGCCTTGAGTCCAAGCGGGTCAATAGACTTTGAATGCTGAGTAGGTTAGTAAACCCTGAGATTGAGTCGATTTGTAGATCCTTGAGCATCGAGTGGGCTTAAAGTTGCCCTTTGTGAGCTATACCAGAGTCAAGGCAAGTGATTGTGGAACCATTGTGGAGATATGGTTGCGTACAGAGCTGAGTTCGAGTAAAAATGGGGGATATTTATGATTCCTTGTGGAATCAAGCCAAGGTAGTGGAGCCTACAAGTATTGAAACTGTGTTTGAGTCTAAAATTGAGTTCAAGATAGCGAGCATTAAGATGTCGCTACAAGGGTAGTTGGCCAAAGGGTCACACCTAGAGAGGGGACCTTGGAGAGGCCAAAAAAGGACCTTAGTTGTGAGATGATCGAAGTGTTTAAATGCCACCATGCTACGGTCTATCATGGGTGGTATCGTATGAGTGCGGTTGACCTAAGCATCACGTCCAAAGGGGCTCATCGAAGAGTCGATTCTGTAAAGGTGCAATTGGTGTGATGGGTCACGTCTAATGGCGCATACCAATGTGTGGCAAAGTAGATGGTCATTCATTCTATTGAGAATCATGTTTGACAAAGGTGTCTCAAGGTCACAACATGATGTGATCATGGGTGAATTAGTGTAGTGACATGTACAAGAAATGGATTAAGTGTAAACCAAAAGTGAAATCAGCACAGATGTGCATTGGAGTTGACAGGATCCCTCTACATCGACAATGGATGGGTATTATGGGCAGTGCCTCATGTGACGGGATCTCGACTCAATCTTTGAGGGTATAAGTGGGAGACATGAAAAATGTCAACTGTGTACAGTAAGAGAGTTAGGTATGCTCTTGGCGTTGATGAGGGCATTGACATAGTAAACAGGGAGAGTGTCATGGTTAGGCCTTGGTGTGCTTCAGTCTTTCCATGAGTGACCCTGAGCGGAGCAGCAGTCAAGGCCTTATTGACGGGATAGTGGTTCTAGAGCTGTGTGTGGGTATTTTAAGCATAGGAACATGTTGCTAATATTATGTGTGGGTAGTGTGAGCCATAGGGCCCAAGATGTGTGGGCAAGTACAAGTCAGTGGACAGGTGCGTTGGAGTTAGTTACCCAATCGGGTACTGTTGGTCGAAGTCGTGTGTGGGCACCTTCATGTGGGTTGGTGGGGCAATAAGTGGAATGCTAGAATTTTGGTGACTAAGAGAAAAATCACTAGGCCTTGAGTTGGGTGAAGAAAAGCCTTGAGATGTCTAAGGAAAAAAGTGTCTCCATTTCAAACATTTTTACAATTCGTAGTAAGAGGCTTGGAAAAGCTCTTACGCTCTTTATAGGGGACAACTAGTGTCAGCTCTCCACCACCCTCTTGGCTAACGGGCAAGCGAGGGCCTGATTAGTTTGAAGTGAGCTATTCTCAGGCACATGTGATGTCTAGGTGGGTGGGCATCGTAGGGTTGCAAGTGTGACGTAATGTCTCTTCGAGTCATGGTAAACTCGAGGACGGTTAAGACCGGTAAACCCGAGGACAGTTAAGGTCGACAGGTCTTGTATCGTGCCTTTGCGTTAAATCATGAGGTTAAACGGTAACGTTCATTATGCCTTTCGATTTCCCTTCCTTGAGTAAGAAAGATCATGAGATGGTGTTTGTGTAGGAAAGGCACCATCGAGCTTGAGGGATAAGCGGGCTAGCAAGCAGTCACACTGGTAGACCTTAATAGCCAATTGGTAGAGGGGTGCTGCACCTGAGGTAGCACACCCAAGTCCCTGAGATGGGACATGCATGATGTTGAATGTCCATCATGCATGCGGGTAGCCTAAAATGCGGTTAAAGGCTAAAGCCTTAAGAAATAAGTTTCGTTGGATGAGATGAGCGTAGAGGCTCCAAGTTAACTGTTGATCAGCATGTATGTTGTGCTTGCGAGATTTTGACATAAAAGTATACGTACGATACGAGCGAGCATGGTGTTGAGTTCTCACCATGCTAAAAAGCAATAATATTATAAGAATCGAGGCTACAGACCCTGAGGAGAATTCGAAGGTCGATGCCCAGGATCTTGATGCTTACGAGTAGAGAAGGGTCTTAGGGTCACTTTAAGAATCGTGAGCTAATGAGTCGATGGACTTAGGTTCCTCCCCATTAAGGTGTGACCTTACATAGTCGGAGCTAGAAAATACTTATGAGTATACGGCTTAAAGGATCGATATCAAGCTATTCATGAGAAAATAGGCTCCAGAAAGATTGACATTGACTATAAGTAATCTTAATGCCACATAAACACGTAGTTTCGATCTAAAAAATGTGCAACCCGTGACACGTGGCTTGAGGCTTTGCACTTTGTGAATCATTCTTTGGATGGAAGCATTTGCGGTTATCTCCGTACTGACAAAACTCCTTGAAGAGGAAAAAGGAAACAATCCAAATGAATTAATCCAGTAAACCCAGATCTATCAACTCTCCCACCAGTTTTAGTTGAGGAGGAAATCAAAGGTTTTCAACTTCTACTCAATTAATTTCTCAAGATAATGCTACTCTCTTTCAAAAGCATTTTTCGACCAAGCATACATTGCCATTGCGATTCACACTGTAATGTTAAGAAACAAAAACTTCAAAATAACACAGCCTCAGGCAAAAGGAAAAAAAATGCTTAGACTAATAATAATGGCCATTGCGGTTCGCGGCGTAATACACAGTAACTTTGATATCCAAATTTCCGATCAGGAAAAGACAGGACAGTCCAGAGAGTGCCCAAAGCCAGCCAGTAACAGCATGCTTGAGACTTAAAAAGAGTCCAAAAACTACTTTCAAATCCACAAATAACCTTCTTAAATTGCTGTCCAGAACAGATGCACATTCAAATAAATTGGGATCTTTCCTTCTCTGAGATTACATACAACACATCGAAGTAAATGTTTGTTTCCATCTATTATGGAAGTTAAAATCTGTTGCGATATACAGAAATATATTTTTAAATTTGGACAGGACGGGGGATTATGTCTAAATCTGCTTTTTCGTAACAAGGTAACACAACACAGGCATACAAGAATATATTTGCATAGATACGGAAACAACACAGCTTCCATAAGATAATACACTTTTGCTACTTCGTTACATTTTGCATCAAATTACAATCCGACAAAAGGACAGTGCTTTCTTGCCTGCTCCGGAATCAATTTCGCCAAAATCTCTACTGGAACACCCTTCAGTTCTAGTGGACACAGCAACACCATCAATAATAATCAATCATACATCTCAACAAAAATCAATAAGCTTATTATAAAGATTATGTTTCTCAATCATTCCGTACCATGAGATTTAAAGTTAAATAGTGGCAGAAGGAAACGACCATTAGGCAAGCGGGCATTTGGATCGCGCAACTCATCAAAGAAAGGATGGATCAAGGCATCCAGCTACAACATTAGTAACACTTCTAAAATGAGATGCATGAAGCAGACACAAGAATTATATAACTAGGTAACCACAATAATTTAAGCTCTTTTATCTTCTCCGCTCACAGCCACAAACCCCCCCCCCCCCCCCCCAAAAAAAAAAAAAAAGAACCAAAAAAAGAGATAAAAGAACACATTAACCTTCCTCTTCTTTGCATGCGTAATTAGTAACACCAATGTATAACAAAGGCCAAGGGAACGAGTTAACAATCACACAACTAACCCACATAGATTATGAATTTTAAACTATTCATAAACCACCAAGGACTTTTTTCTCAACTGATATTTTCAACTCCCTTTTTAATCAGGAAGGAACCTCCATAATTGGAGTTTACTCCTGAAGTCATACTAAAGCAACTTGAAGGAAAAGCACAAAGGAAATAGATGAAGCATAATAAATAATTTAATATAAAGATTTTATATACTCACAGCAGTGCAACGGAGATTAGGAGAGTATTGGAGTAATCTTGACACCAAATCAACAGCTTCAGGAGGCATCCGCCTATGGAATATCTAGAACAAATATATATTTATATAATATATATATATATATATATATATATTGGATGACAAGTTATGGAAATAAAAGACCATTTGCACACCCTTTCTTTATTGTTAATACCTTGTGCCATGGGTGAGCCTTAATCTGAGGGAATTTGAACTCTGTATAGTTAGGGTTCATGCACTTAATTTCCTCTCGAGTTGGAGTGCCCAAGACCTTGAAAACAGTCACATAATTATCATAGTTAAAGAGAAATGGTCAATTTGACATTGGAAATGACTAAAAATATGACACAAAAGTAATTACAACCAAAGTTATTGGTCCAAGCACACCAACAAATGACACATCCACCAGGAACATAGGGATTTCATGATGTTAACGTTAACAAAAGCACTGGTAGGAACCCTGATAAATATGTCAACGTTTGCACAAGCAGGAGGAAGAGAATAGGAACCATATTTTCTTCAGCTGCAGATATTCTAAGACTGTGTGGAAGCAGGTCTTGCAGCTTTGCAATCTACGCAGAGAGGTTGCTGATTGGGAGGAGCTACAGTGGGCGGTTAGCAAGATTAAAGGGAATGCTCTAATTTCTATCCTATTGAGACTGGTTTGGGGGGCATATATACTTGATTTGGAAGGAAAGGAATAAGAGGCAGTTTTTTTCTGAGGAATGTACTGGTGAACAGATTCTGAGGCAGATAAAGGAAGCGGTCAGTCTAAGATTGCTTGGAATAAAACATATTGTTTTTGATCATGTTAATAAAGAGTTAAGTGAGAGATGGGGACTAAGTAGGGATATATTTGCAATGTAATACTTGAGTGTTGAGTTTGACATTGTATGTACAGTCATTTCGTAGCAGTGTTCTGCTGCTTCTCAGATAATGAAATTACAACTTATCCAAAAAAAAAAAAGTTTCATCCTGTCATCCACTCAACATAATCAACATAGAAAAGTCATTCTTGAAAGCATACAGATATATGTATACGTCACGCTTGCACTAACTAATAAATTAGTCAGAAATTGAAATACCTTAATAATCTCAACAAGCTGGTCGACTCCACTCTCACCAGGAAATAGAGGCTGACAAATAGAAAATTATTTAATACAACACACCAAGGATAATTTAAGGCAATAATAACAATAATGAACCTCATATGCACAAGCTTCCTACCTGTCCAAGTAACAGCTCAGCAAGGACACAGCCAGCAGACCAGATGTCAATGGCTGTAGTGTACTCAGTTGCTCCAAATATTAGCTCAGGTGCTCTATAATACCTTGAGCAAATGTAGGATACGTTTGGTTCCCCTTTCACCTAACATAAGAAAATATAAAATAGTAAGAGCTAAGAAAAATCAAAGATTGATGCTTTAACAAAAAAGTAAAAGACAATAGAAATCACAACATACCAAGACTTTTGCACTTCCAAAGTCACATAGCTTAACCTGATGTGTATGTGGATTTACCTGCAGGGAGGGTAAAAAAAAAACTGAATAAGTCACTGATTTGCCACGTATAAGATATAGCAAAGAGACTTGACAAGTTCATTCATCAAGCAGATAAAGAAACAGGGGTACTACTATAATCAACCAACAAGGAGGTAATAGAAATAGATATTTGAACATACCAAAAGGTTTTGAGGTTTAATGTCCCGATGACACACACCAATGCAATGATGGATGTAAGACAATGCCCTAAATATCTGCCAAGAATCAACCTTTATTAGCATCTCAACCAAGTTTCAATTTAAAAAACACGAGAAACCATCTTTTGAAAAACCAACACTATACCTGGTATGTATAAAGTTTCACGTATATCAATGGCATCCTTTGGTTCAACTTGTTATAGTGCTTGATCACACGATGAACAGTTTCAGGAAAATAATCGAGTACCAAATTAAGATAAAGTTCATCCTTTTCAGTTGTTGAAAAAAAGCAATGCTTCAAAGCTATAACATTTGGGTGGTCAAGAAGATGCATTGTTTGCAGCTCACGGTTCTTGTACCTCTTATCTTGAAGAACCTTCTTTATAGCAACAGTTTCACCAGTCTCTAAGCACTTAGCCTAAATTTAAAAGAACAACAGAATGTCCATTACTAATTACTTATGAAGATTAGCATGTTATTCCACCTTTCAGGAAACAAACAAGAGTCTTTACCTGGAAGACAACTCCAAATGATCCATGTCCAACCACTCGTTCAGCCATGTAACTTATTGTCTGGAATTTCAGAAAGAGAGGGATATGAGGAGAAGATGACATTTGGTGATGTTTTGAAAGAAAATGGGAAAAGAGATGAAAAACTTGTACTGGCTCACTCAGAGCAATAGCATTCTCAAGGCACAATCAGATTACCTGTTTTGGCTGACCATTTCTACCACCAATAGTTGTCACAATTATATGCCCTGTCTCTGTTCCATTACCATCCACAATTGTTGCTTCCATTTCCTACAAATTTAAGATGATCCATGAGAGGTAGTTGCATTTTTTTATGAAAGCTAGTTGCATTTTTGGTATGAGAAAAAAAAAGCAAAAGCAGGGAATCATAATGGTAAAGGAAAAAAAAACGTAAAACAAAGAAATGCACACTTTGTCATCTCTAATTTTCATGTCATTCATCTCCTCAGGTAACTTATCAACAGCAGCAGCACTAGACTCTCTTAAACCAGATGTAGGCGCCACGCCAACAGAAGCCATCTGTAGTACAAAGGTGTGTCCTAATCCTGTTAATATTCCACCTCAAAAGCCAATAATTTATCTACAACAAAAAAACGAAAAAAGATGTTAACAAACTCGACTGAGATGTTGCTATTATGCTACAAAAATCTCCATCATTTCCACAACCCATATTAACTCAACAATAGAGTTGGGTATAAAATCATACTAACATAAAATATACCCAAAAAATAATCAAGTGAACTAAGCACTAGGACCTATGTAGCAGTTCAAGCTTTGCAAAAAAATCACTTAACCAGTTTGAAAAAAAAAAAAAAAAGAATTCAACAGATACCCTTGATTTAAATCAAAAAAAAAAAAAAAAACAACAAACAACAGTTTTGAGTCCATCAAATCACAAATCTTTTATCTTACAAATAGTAGGAAATCTCCATATCTAGCTAAATAATGTCTTTACAATATCATAGCTTCTTAATTAAGAAAGAAAAAAAGCTAACCCAACTTAACAAGCCACATACCAAATAAAAAGAAGCATATAACGTTTTGGCAATTTCATTAATTACAAGCACATATTGCCAATTTTTTTTATGGGGGATTTCAGAATATGAATACAGTTAATCATTAAGGGCTCATCAAGCAAATGCACATCAGCAACAAAAAAAAATCCTTTCCATTTAAAAACTTACTTAAGTGTTGAATATACAGAAACACATAAAAAAAAAGGCAGAGGGATATCCATTGAAGGAAGCCTAAACAAGAAAAAAAAAAAAAACCATCTTCAACCAATTCCTGAATAATAATAAAAAGTATAAATTTATTTGAAAAAAATTACAAAAATAAAGATCTCAAAGGTAAAATTCAACCACAAAAAAAAATCTTTTTTTGTGGAAAAAGAAGACACAATCTGCGGATCCAAATCTGAAGATGAGCACCAAAAAGATCGTACTCGAAACAACACGATCCAATGTAATTTAAGAAAAGATAAAGAAAAGCATGAAATATATATACAAAAAGAAAAAGAAAAAAAGCCAAGAAAGAGAGGGAGGATGATACCTACGGATTGAAACACGAAATAGAGAAGAGGACGAGGTGTATGATTAAGCAGTAGCGTTAAAGAGGGAGGAATGGAAAAGGAAGGAAAAGTAGGGGAAATGTTTATATTGTGGTGGTCGTACTTTTATTTTATTATTATTTCAGCTTTCCTTTTTTAAAATATATAAAATTTCTGTTTTATTTATTATTTGTTCTGAATTAGTGGTAAAATAAAAACGTAGTAGAGTAGTCCTTTATTTATATTTTACGTTGTTTTGTTTTGTTTTGTTTTTTTTTTGTGATTATATATAAATAAATAAATAAACAAACTGACAAGCTGAGTTGAGTAGGGAGGTATGACATGTTAAGTCGACAGGTTAAGGTGGTTGGTTTGGTTTGGTTTTTTCTCTGTTCTGGTGGTTCAAACGACTCTTACTCCGACACTCACTTCATATTTTAAAGCTAATATGAAGACAATAATATACTAAATAGCAAAAAAAATTAAAAATTATAATATTAATTTATAAATTAACATTTAAATTCAATTTTAACCAATTAATTATATGTTCTCAAAATTATATTAATATAAAAGCATATTATTTTTAATTTTAATTATATATCATTTTTATGAAATTAATTTTAATTGTTATGCTTGATAATAATATAAAAAAGTTTTATGATTGCAATAGTGTGCAAGTGGAGTTTATCACTACTATATTAAGTGTTAATTTTATTAAAAATATATAATCTCTTTTATATTTCCAAAACCAATTTTTTTTTATAAAAAATATAACCAAATTCTTTATCGGCCAAAAATTTTTTATCCTAAAAAGAAAATGAAAAACTGTAACCATATTAACTATTATACACAAAATTTTGAGTCATCTAATGTAAATATATGGTATCACCTCGAATCCAACCTGAGTTCATTAAAAGAAAGATAAGGTTGAGGTAAAACTCAAAGCAAAAAATATGGAATACTAATTTTTTTGGGGTTAATATTCTATATGGGTCCTGAACTATTATAATTTTTTAGATTTGGTACTTAAATTAAAAAAGTTACTAAATATGTACTTAAATTTTGAAATTATGTATCAATTTTGTCTAAGAGTTAATTTCATTAGCTTAGTTGTCGACTTGACTATTTAACCAACAAAAATCCATCATTTGGACACAAAATGACATATAAGCATGATATGGATTACTTATGTGGTCAAATATTGATTAACCCTAACCTAAATAAAAAAAAAAACCTTAAACCAAGGTAAAAAAAAAAATCAAAATCTAAATTATAAAAAAACCCCCCAAATCATTCTTCTGTTAGTACCCAAAATTTAAATCGTTCTTCTGAGAATCAAATAAGAAAGTAATAGAAAATACGTTAATTTGAAAAGTTTTAGGTTAGATTTGATTATACCATTTGATCGAAATATTGAGTTTCGTCGCTAGAACAAGACAAGTCAAGAGCATTGACTGGCACGAGGGAATTCAACCGACACAAGAAGATTTCTAGAGTATTTAGGTTTGATTTTGTGAAGCAAAGTGAAAATCGATTGGGAGTTATAAAAATTTTTAAGGTATGCTGATTTTTTTATTTTTTGATTTAATGTTACAGTAGTTTTGGAAATTATGACTTTTTTATTTCAAATGCTTTTTTATTCAATAAGAGTTTATACGAGCACAACACTTTACTTTCATATACCTTTTTATTTGGGCACATCACTTCCTTTTAATCAATATTTACATGTCAGACTGTATGTTTGGATTTTGCAATGTGATCCCAATTTGTCTGCATTATTGTATTCTTTATACTATTTAAGATTTTGTTTATTCAATTTTTGTTACTTTTGATGTAGCTAAAATAATGACTTTTATGATGTTTCCTTTACACATGCATTTAGGTTAGAAATTTATTATAAATTCGAGAATAAGTTATATGGGTGGGCATGTAGATATATGGAGTATAGATCCTGATGTGATTTCATTCACTGTGTTATGTAACATGGTTAAAAAGGTTGGGTAGGGTACTACTACTATGTTTTATTACTTGAGATGATAATAATATATGTGGGTTGGCTGACAGTGATAGTAATTTGAGAGATGCATTTGTATATGTGATTGTGTTGGATGCAGGTATACTTGAAGGTTCGCATGAGGGTGCAAAGGAGGGTCAATTTTAAAATAATGAGAAAGAACCCTTTGAAGAATATAAGTGGAACTCAGATATTGATAATGAGAAAATACAGAATATTAGAACATCATACTCTAAATTTTAAAAAAAAAAAAGAAAAGTAAGGTAGTGAAAAGTAATAAGATCTCACAAGAAGTAGATTTTGAAGGTCTTTTGCAAAAGATCAAGAGAAAAAAGAAAAAAGTAAAATAGAATGAGGTATGTGAGAATAGTGGGGTTGGGACAAATCAAGAGGATGATATAGATTACATAGACTTTTCAAACATAGGTAGTTATGAAAGTTGTGAAGATGGGGACATTGTATGTAAGAAAAGTAAGAAAAATACTTTGACCTTTCAGATCTAGATCTTGGGTTTGAGATTGGCATGATTTTTTATAGTCTAAGACAATTCAATGATATATTGACCAATCATGTAATTGTAAAAAGGTTTGATTATAGATACCTTATGAATGAGAAACATAAGGTTAAGACTATTTATAAACATGAAAACTATCCATTCCTAATTTACGCTATGATAGACAACTATGATGGGTTGTTCAAGGTAAAGACATTGAAAAATGAGTATCACTGTACTATTACCTTCAAAAACTCGATGATAGATTATAAGGTGTTGACTGATCATTTTCTTTGATTTGCAATTGGTTGAGATAAAAAAAGCTTATAAAAAAAGAGTTAAATGATGATGTCATAATAAAAGTTTGTAGGAATGCTACGATGAGAGTTCAAGAAAAAATTACTAACAAATATCACTATGAGTTTTTAAGGCTATTTGATTATGTTGTTGTTCTAAAAATAGCAAATCCAAATAGATATGTAGATCTAGTGGTTGAAAGGCCTATAGCAAAGCATAAACCAAGGTTTTTGAGGTTATATGTTTATTTTATTGCACTTGATGAAGGATTTTAGAAATATTGTAGGCCTTTACTGTGTGTAGATGAATTTTTTTAAAGGTATCTTTAAAAACTAAACTTTTGGTTGCTATTGGTAGAGATACCAATAATTAAATGTATCTTATTGCTTAAGCATTTGTGAAGGTGGAGAATAAGCATACTTAGGATAGTTTTTGGATAACTTAAAAGTTTATTTTTAAATAGAGGATGGTGCTAGATTCATTATCATGAGTGACATGTAAAAGGTATATATGATAATTATATAATTTTGTTTTTTGAAGGTTTAAGGTTAGTTACTTTTGAATGTTTAATTAACTTTTTTCATTTATTATTGTAAGGTTTATGTAATGCCATAAGTTCTATTATTCTTAAAAGTTGAACACAAATTCTGTGTAAGACACTGGTTTGCCAATAAGAAGAAAACCCATTGAGGTAATGACCTTTATAAGCAATTTTGGATGTGCAGTAAAGCTACAACAAAGGCTGAGTTCAAAGCAAAAGCAAAAAAACCTAAAGATTTGAAACATACAATATTAACTGATATATTAAAAAAAAGGTCCTAAGCATTGGTCAAAGGCATTTTTTAGTATTAAATGTTTGTCAATGTTGTGGATAACAATATAGCTCAGGCATTTAATGCTAGAATTATTCATGTTAGGCATATATCCATCATTTCAATATTTGAAAAAATTATACATTATGTGATGTAAAGAATTATTGACAATATGACTAGATGTGTTAGGTGAACTAAGTTGCTCTGTCCTAAAATTTGTGAGAAAATAGAAGAACATAAGAAACTTAGTGCTTTTTGTCATGTTGTATGGAATAGTAGTGATGGATATGAGGTTGAATGTCATAAGGATAGATTTGTGATAGATATGGGTGGGTGGAAGTGCATATATAGGTCATGGGATTTGATTAGGATATCATGTCCTCATGCTATATGTGTCATAATTTTTAAGAATGAAAAAATTGAAGAATATGTTGCATATATATATAAGAAAAAAATGTATAAGAAATACCATAGTAGTGTGCTGCCAATTATTCTTATAAACAAGTTATGGCCTACCACATAAATGGGAGACATAGACCTAGCACTTCCTAGAAAGATGTTTGATAGACTAAAAAAGAACAAAAATTTAAAGGTGGGTGAAAACTTAAGTGAGACAAAGTTATCAAATAAAAGAAAGAAGCTAAAGTGTTTAAATTTATTTCAAGTTTGGTCACAATTCAAATAAGTGTCCACAAAAACAAAACGAAAGTTACAATATGCATATATAATTTGAAGTTTAATTTACAAATTGATTAAAACCTAAGGTTATGTTTTTTATACATTACAGGCTAGTAACATAGGATAAGGTGAAGACATGAATACACTTATGCATCATGAACCTGCAAGATCAGAACATTATGCTAGAGCAATAACTACACCACTTAGAGTGACCAAACCCGCTACCAATCCACCTAGAGTGACCAAAGCCAAATCAGCAACCACACCACCTAAAGTGATCACAACAACAGCCATATCATCCAGAATGAACAAAATAGCAATAGCAACCACACCACCCAGACTGACCAGAGCTAGAGTAGTAGCCACACCACCCAAAGTGACCACAACAACAACCACACTGCCCATAATGACTCGAGTAGCAACCACACTACCCACACAAACTATAACACTCATAACATCACACAGACTATAGCAGGCATACCATTAAGATAAACTACAAAAACCAATGCAGTACTGAAAGCCACAAGACTTTTAAAGTTACCTGTCCAAAAAGAAAAATAAAAAATTAAAGAAAAACTTGTACTACTTAAAATTAAGAGAAGAACAATCATGCAAGGAATGGCATATATATTAATGAGAAAATAGGATTGCAGATATTAAATGTAGGGTTCTTTTATAATGTAATTTTTTATTTTACTGTTAGATTGCTTGGATTTATGTATATATGCTGATGAATTATATTTTATCAAACAATCTAAACTAAAAGGTCAAATGTTAAACTTTGTTCCAAAAAGTGCTAAGCATACATTAACATCAACAGCAGCTACACATGGTTTTTTAAATAAAGAGATTAATGGCCATTTAAAT